ATTCTACACAGATGATTAATTTTTTGGTATTTTTTTAATAAATATCGTTTATTCAATGGTAAATACGACAACAATCTTTCTTAATTAACATTTTATTCAAATAAAATGAATTTACTACTTTCAAGTTGAAAATAATCAGTAGTATATGATTACCATCCAGCTGAAGAGGAAATTAGAAAAAGACAATGGAAATGGATAGGACATACATTGAGGAAATCATCAAACTGCATCATGAGGCAACCCCTAACTTGGGATCGTGAAGGGAAGCGAAAAAGAGTAAGGCCAAAGAACACATTACGTTAGGAAATAGAATCAGATATGAAAAGGGTAAATAACAACTAGAAAGAGCTGGAAAGGATTCTCCAGGACAGGGTTGGATGAAGAATACTGGTGAGTGGCCAATGCTCCTTCACGAGGTGTAACAGGCGTAAGTAAGCAAATAATATGATTATCAGTAAATAAATGTAAGTAAATTACTAATCAGTAGTATAGGTTGGTAAAAGATGAATGAAATAATTGAGTTTTTCATTTTAGCAAGTAAAAGCAATGGATTAATTGGTTGTCTTACAAATATGACGATATCATATACAAAATACTACTTAAATTGTTTTAAAGTAATGTGAAAAATAAGATTATTAAGCTGATTAATATTAAACGAAGTTATCAATGGATAGTGTTGACATAAGTCTACTTTACATCATTAATTGAATGAATCCATTTTAATTTAGTGGTATGTTGTCTTGTTGCTATTGTGATGTGTACTACTGATGTCGACCGTCATAAGTAGTATCATCAATCAAAAGTGAAATGCTTAGCAGCAGAAGGTTAAGAAGTTCGAAGAAAACAGAACGAGAACAGAGAATGATTGATGTGGAAACGAAATATTCATGAAGTCTGAGACAATTGATTGACATTTTACAAATGAAGTATTTACTGTATGGTTCTTAAATTTTACTAAGATGTTCTGTAATTTTGTGTCGACATTAATAGCATATTACCACACTTGTACTAAATTGAAATATGTTTACACCAACAATAGTAACTTATCTAGTTATTGTGTTATAAATGACAAATTTTCATAGTTAACAGGAACCTTAAATTAATGAATATGAATAATCCTTTAATCATTCTTAATCACTAAATTCATCTATCCAAATGCTCTGGTACGGCCGAGAGTGGAGAGAATCCGCTCACGCTCTCGAAATGCTCTCACATGGCCACGCGTATATAGCCTCTGCCAGGGAAGTCCTACTCACTGCATTCTCGTGGCATTACTGTTGTTTACGAAAATGAGAGGACGAAAAGCGAATTTCCGGCGCTTTAACCGGATCCAAACTAATGGTGCACATGGGCTCCAGTATCCTGAAGGAACAAATGGCGTATGAACCAATCGTTGGTCACCGGCTACCATGGGACTGCATCTCCTTAAGATGCTCCACTGCCTTGTGGGTTAGACGTTCAGGTCAAAGGCTCGGGGTGTGGCCCCCTAAGAAAACCACCTGCTTCGGTTTGGGCACCCGAGCAGTATCACAGCCCTCACACATATCAAATGAGATCTGTGTGGCGCATATGTATTTGGTGCCTCCTTGTACCAATTCCTAAGTGTTAAAATAAATAAATAAAATTCATCTATATTATTAATTGTATACTGATTCGATCAATAGTGTACATTCCATGGCTCAAAACTGTTGTTAACATAATTGTCACTGGACAATCAACACCATAGTTGCTATGACAACAAAAACAGTGCTTGTAGTTTAAATTAGACGTTGAAAAGTTCTAAACACTTTGACAAAGACACTTTGTATTATGTCAAAATCTTTTTCAATCGTATTAATCTTCGTATTGTAGTATTGTGAGATGTGCTATTGATATCGACAGATATAAGTAGTATGCATCGTCAATAGAATGTAAAGCGCATGGTGGTAAAACGTTAAGAAGTTCAAAGAAAAGAGAATGAGAACAAAGAATGATTGGTATGGAAACGAAAGAACAATGAAGTCTCAGACAATTGATTAACATGTACAGACGGAACAGTTAAGTATGGGATAATTGATGGAAATTTTGCAAATAAAGTATTTCCTGTATGGTTCTCAGATTTTACTAAGAGATTCTGTAATGTATTGAAATACACTTGGTTGTTTCCACTTAGGTACTTGTTCACTACAGTATTTGTCAATCCATGATGATGTAAATGTACGACACCTTCTGTATGCTTGGTCTATTTCGCATTTACGTATTTAATGAATTAATGTAACTCGATATAAGTTTATTGTTGCCTTGGAGATTAACACTTGCATTTCTTTTAACCTTTTCAATATTGACAATGCTGTTATATAGATGATCATAAAGTCGTAAATTCTTCCTGTTGTCTATACAATGAATGTACTAGGGTATTTTGAAAAAAGTTAATCATAACTACTGTCTACTTGTATCAATTATTGATTTAGTAATCAATCTCAAAATGTATATTCTGAATTACAGAAGGTGATTCTAAAACTCCTCAAACATTAACACCATTTTGATGTACCATTAGGAGTTATAGAGCATTGAACATTAGTTTCAACCTAACATCAAACTTATCGGCAGTATACACATCCATGATCCAACTAAATAATAAACCTTGATCTTACGAAAAGCAGATTACCTTAAAACCATTCATTAAAAGTACACAGTTTACAGTTTATAATCTACACTGTTTAACAATGTAGGATAATGATCATTTAAAGTCACTGATAATGACTGTCTCAAACTAAACGTAATTGAATTATATCAATCATAACATTTCAATTCATCTCTATCTATAATGAATATCAATCAAGCTATGATTACTATTAGTGATGAAGTTGATAAAACAATATGAAAAGGGTTTTTTGTATGTGGATATTATAATACTTTAATAGATTGGCCACCATGGAAAACTGGGAATCATTGGACAGATGTTTCGTCCTATTATAGGACTACCTCAGTAGTAAGCATTTACCATTCCGCCTGGTGAGACTCGAACCCTCGTGCGAACACTTAACCTCTAGACCACTGAAACGACTGGCATCCAGCGATATCATTATGTAACTTCAATTAATCCACTACATTGATTGACAATTCCACCATTGTCTTCAATAAGTTTTCTATCTCACAACAGACCCAATTGAACTCTACTTCTCAATAGAATTCTAGGAAATACCTCATGAAACCAGTCACTAATGTGCAAATATATTGATTCATATCAGAAGGACTAGGTTTGTTGTTGTTGTTGTTGTTGTGTATATTATAGTAATATGATATATATTTGTACAAAATTAAAATTAATTTTTTAGCTAAAGCAGTTTCCATTTAAGCAAAAAATGAAGTACATATTTTGTTTGGTTTTGTTTTGTTTTTAAGTACATAGATGCGTATTATATCTCATGCTTGATAAAGTTCATATGTATATATATATATATATATATATATATATATATATATATATGATTTAGCTTAAATGTTTCAACTTTCATGTTATTATGTGTGTGTGTGTGCGTGTGTGTGTGTGAATGAGAGAGAACAGTATGAATGCTTTATAAATAAATAAGTAGTCAAAGGCATTCTGATAAATATTTGTTCATTTAAACCAACAACCCAATAGGTAGAGATTAAACAAATATATATATATAACTTAAGTAATATATATATAGTCTTCAGAAAAAAGTGATTTATAGGCTTCTATAAAACATCATTACGTCATCGAACTCACTAGTTCCCACAGAAACTAATGAGTATATCAACCAAGTTCAATTATAGAATAAACCATTCATTGAATAAATATTTATCATTTAAAAAGAAAAGGCAAAAAAAGAAAAATAATAAGAAGAAAGTAACCTGTAAAATAAATGAAAGTTTTAAAAAGCCCGGTTCTTTTTTTGTTTTTGTTTTTTTTTTAAAAAAAGTAAACTAACGCTACTCAAGGTCAACTGAATAAATTTAAACAAACAAACAAACAAACACTCATCATTATTTATGTGAATAAGAAACATTGAATATTGAATATATATATATATATATATATATGTATTGAACACATTATATTTTGTTTGTTTTTCCAAATATCATTTCACTTGAAAGTAGGAGCATTCAAATATGAAATGATCATTTGTAAACAAGTAAATAAATAAATAATTGAATAATTAGAAGCAGATATATAGAATAAATAATATAGTATTGTATATAAGTAGTATTGTTAGTAGTAGTAGTAGTATTGTCAGTAGTATCGTCAAAAGTCGTCGTCGTCATCGTCGTCGTCGTAGTGATGGTGGTAGTTTTAAAATGAAACAGATCAATATCGATTGTATCATGTTATAAATGTAAAAGTAAGAAAAATTTTTAGAAAAAAACAAAACAACAAAATCGAAAAATGTTTTCTCTCTTCTTTTTTTTCCCTCATAAATTATTATTATTATTTTTTTTAAAAAAAAAACAATTCATTCGAAATCATTCATTTATTGATTTATTTGTTTGTCTTTTTTTTTTGTTCTTAATTAAAATAAAGAAAAGTTCAGTCAACGAAATTTTGTAAAAAAAAAAAGAAAATCCAAAGAAGAAAAAAAAAGAAAAAAAAGAAAAAAAAGAAATCCCATTCATGAATGAACATTGATTACATCATCTCAATGGATTCATTCATCAATAGGATCATCATCATCATCATCATCATTATCAATAATAAGATGAGATAATGATCTATATTGTATTCAATGTTAAATATAAGTTTATTATAATAATATGATTATCTTTTATGAATAAATTAAAGGAGAAATAACTATTATAATAATAATAATAATAATAATAACAGTAATATTATTATTATTATTATGAAAGGAACTTTATTCAAAAGGATTGAAATAGGAGATCCTTCATACAGCATACATAGATATAGAATAGATGAATGTAATAGAATTAACAAAGATCATCATGGTATAATAATAATAATAATCATAATATTCATAATAGTAATAATAATAATGTAGTTAATCCCTTAAATTAGGAAATATAGAATTAATAAAACGTACTAAATGTATAGCTGAATGATTATGATCAATTTCACAAAATACATAAACAACATTATCATGTAACCAGAAACGTTGTTTACGTGCAACCAATGCAAATATTCTACAATGTAAACAACAACAACAAAAAGAAAAAGAAACGATGAAAATAAACAAATAAACAAACAAACAAACAAACAAAAAATGCCATTACAAATATAGTTAATAGATGACTGTTTCGTTCTAGTATAGGGCTCGTCAGTTGTGCATATCCATAATCTTATATACAAGCAGGATTCGAACCTAGGACTTATTGACCTCTACTTAGATCCTGGCTATTCTTATTTACATAATTATTGACTTAAAATGTGATGAATTAAAATTAAGTCAACTATGAGAATGGATTTTATACAATCGTTAACGTAGATAGAGGATTAGAGAAATGAAATGAGACGAGATGACGCTTAGTGAAGAAGTCAAATGAGCCAACTTCATTTCATCAAATGTTATTTAATACTTATAGACGATCATATGAAAACACTCAGGGTTAATAAGTGAATCATTGACAAGCTCAAAATGTGGCTTGTAGAAGAATGAATAGATTAGTCTGTCCAGTGACTATAGTAACTTATATCGGATTGATATATATATTGCTAGCCACTACAAGTTGTTTCTTTAATTATTCTCATGTATAGACAACATAGTTATAACTATAGGACTTTCGCCACTAATCTTGAAAGCTTCATCATATGAAACGGGTCTCCTATTTAACATTATTAAGATACAAATAACTTTACAATATCTGTCCCTAATAATTTTAATAAATGGTTAGTATTACATTTCTAATATTATTCTCTTTAAACATCATAAGATTCTAATGAACTATTTTTTTTTAGTGGAAGCCATTGTTTGTAGTTGATGGTAACAGGATGCGCGTTTCGTCCTATTTGGGACTCATCAACTGTGTGTATCTACATCTCAGAGTTGATGTTTATTCGGGAACTGGAACCCAGTACTGTTCTCTTCAAATACCATCATGTTATCCACTTAACTACTGAGTCTTGATAACAATTTGAAACTAATTCATTTGATAAATAGATTAAATAATCGATCAATTTGTTATTATGATGACTTTTGTTTATAAATATATAATGTTAATAATTGAGTTCATGAGTCGATCTAAGCTAGAACACCGATGGGCAGTTGTTTCGTCCTAGGATAAAAATCCTCAACAATGTGCATCCGCAATCTTTTACACAACACTCGAATACAGGATCTTTGGTCTCATGTGTGGATGCTAGCATTTAACAGTGTTAATGTAGAACTTCAATCAATCCATGATCTTGTGCAACCTTTCATTCATTATCTGAGATGGATAATTATCTCAAACCCGATACCGACTGAACTCTACTAGTCATGTCTTCTTATTAGAACTCCAGGACAATCCATCTTGAAGCTAATCACTAATGAGCACATGACTATTATCAGAATGGAGATCGCCATGTATTTCCTATTCTTATAATTTGTTAGTTATTTTTATATGATCTAACTTATAGGGACATGAATTTGTTTTCATTGGTTGTTTAATCAAAGTTAGTCTATGATCATTATTTATTTGGTGCAAAGGGGTGACATACAAATCACTTGATTTGTGTGTGGGCTGTGATACTGCCCGGAAGCCCAAAGCGAATCAGGTGGTTTTCTTAGGAGACCACTCACCGAGCCCCTGACGTAAAGGTCTAATCTACCAGGCAATGGAGCAACATAAAGAGATGCAATCCCATAGTAGCCGGCGACCAACAATAGCTTCATAATACCATTTGTTCCTTTATGATCCTAAAGCCCATGTGTACCATTGGTTTAGAATGAGAGTTTTCCAACTCCCTTAAGTGGATCCTCCATATCCATCAACCCACTTAAAGCGCCGGATATTCGCTTTTCGTCCTCTCAATTTTGTAAATAACACTTACACATCAAGAAGGCATTAAGTAGAACTTCTCTGGTACTGGTTGTATAAACGAGGCAATTTGAGAGCATTTCGAGAGAGCGAGAGAGAGATAACTGACTCTCTCCACCCTCAGTCATATCAGAGCATTTGGAGACGGTCCAGGATCTAGATTTTCATATTCAACAATCTCCACAAAACTCGCTGGTAACATCTACTATTTATTTTCATTTTAATAACAAATTCAATATTTATTAAATGATTATTAACCATATTTTATCAGCAATTATGAGAAAATCACTTACTTTGAACCATACATTCCTTTAGATCGTAATTCTGCATCATTAAATCTATAGGGAAAATTCATAGAAGTAAATTACAATTAAGAGTAGTAGGTTAAACCATATTGGTCATTTTACTTTAGAGGACTCAATTTGATAATAATAATAATAATAATAATCTTAACACAATACAAACTTATTCGTCAGTATAGGGTTGGGGAGATTGTTGAGTTTAGATTGGTATTATGAATAGACCAATGTTAGACCACTAGTCACTCAGTCAGTCAGTCAGTCAGTCAGCCAGTCAGTCAGTCAGTAACAACGTGGAACTTCGTACGTACGTACATCAGTTCGAGTTGTCATACCAAATTAGCACAAAGATTCAGTTATCGATTCAAATCTCATAGTGGTAGAGGTACTGAAAGTATAAGTAGTAATCGGAAAGATTCAGTCAGTCAGTCAGTAACACCGTGGAACTTTGTACGTACGTACATCAGTTCAAGTCGCCATACCTAACATATTAGCACAGAGATTCAGTTATCGATTCAAATCCCGTAATGGTAGAGGTAGTAAAAGTATAAGTAGTAATAAGGAACATTAGGGTTTGATGATGTTTTTCAAGGAGTATAATCTAGCGAAATGAATTTGAAAAGAAAATAAAGGACATGAAGAATTCAGAAGATTAGAATTTGCAAGAACACAAACTGTGGATGCACCTGCACCATTGCAAATGATTTTGACCCATGTCGTTCAAGGTCTTTAACCATCGGTTGTTATCATCTCGCGGATCGCAACTAGGTAGTCTACACCTATCAACATCGCTTAGTCCACTTGTCAGTGACTTCATGGATTTGTGCCATGTTTTGGTCTGGCCGCCCCTAGCTTTCTTACAACCTACTCCTACACCATAAAACATCGCACATTGGGGCAGTCGGTGGTTGGGCATACGTAACACATGTCCCAGCCATCTCAACTGATGAAGTTTCACTACTACTCCATACTAAGACAAGATGGCTGTCTAGTGCTTTCAGGTTTTCAATGATGATCTAACACTGATCCATTTATAAGCTTATTCCGTAGTAAATTCGACTACAGCAAGTGACATTGTCGGAGTTTTATGCTTATATTACTGAGAAAGAATACACTAGATATGGTAATATTGTTATTTGAAAGTGAGCAAATAAGTAATGTAATTCATCAGTTTAGATAGATAATCCGATATGGAAGCTATTAGGTTTAAATACTCATTTGAACTTTGACATTCAAATCCGAAACCATTCAATTGATGAGACCTAAATAGAACGAAACGTGAAGAAGATTTTTAGCTCAAATGGATGATTTTGATAGAGTTTTCGTTCTCTGAGTTAGATGATTTGGTTGTGGAGCTTTCATCATTCTTCATTTCTCTCATGCTACTCTCATGTTGCCGCCCTTTTCAACAAAGTTTATACGCCGTTGATTTTATGAGCTCTTAGGTTGTTACTGTACTGTAATTGAGAATTTAATCTGTGTACTTTGTATCCCACAGTTAACCATTTAACTAACTTTGATCAATGAACTTTGTAATTGATTAAGATCATGAACCGATTGATGTTGGATCACCATTGAAAATTTGAAGGCACTTGACAACTGTTTCGTCTTATTGTAGGATTCTTCAGCAGTGTACATCGACGATCCCGCTTTCAGAATCTTAAATATTTGAAGAATAGGAATTAATTTTTTACCAAACTTACTCTCGATTTTCTGGATCTAAACCACACCAAAGTAAATTATTAGGTTTAATAGTTTTTCTCCATACAGCACGTCTATATTTTTCAGTAAAAGTAATACCTTCATGTGGTATAACTTTAATTTGAACTTCACATCGTTTTGGTAAACCATCTGTATATGATTGGGCTAAACTTATGATTTTTCCAATTCCACGAATTGCTGCATTCATATTTTCAAGACGATCTACTTCAACAGAACCAAGATAAAGCATATCCGTACCTGAAAAAAATATATATAAAGAATTACATTTTGATTGAGATCATGAACTGATTAATGTTAGAACACCATTAAAAACCTAGAAGGACTGGACGGCTGTTTCGTCCTATTGTAGGACTCCTGAGCAGTGTACATCCATGACCCCACTCGCGGAATTCGAACGCAGGGCCTTCAGTCTCGCTCGCGAACGTTTAACCTACTCGACCACTGAGTGGACACCCAACGGTGTTAATGTCTAACCTCATCATCTAATGAAATGTATATTCTACTATTTAATCTAAATGTAACTTTAGTTATATAACATGACAAAGTCAAACAGAAATATCATTTGCCAATAACTTTCTTTGAAATAAGTTCTCCAAGTTCCGTTGCGAATGTTTGACTGATTGAGTTGAACTATCTTCGGAATGAGATAGAGATCATAGACGGTGTTAAACAGTGGTGGAGAAGATTTGTAGCACAGATGGATGAATTTGATAGAGTTTTGTTCTCTGAGCTGGATGGTTTGGCCGTGGAGCTTTCATTGTTCTTCTGAACAACATTATCAGCACAAACTTTAGATAGAAGTGAAGTGTTGGATTTTCTCCACATGTGATCCACAGCTTGTTCTGTAGACTTCGATATTGATTAGTTCTTGTTGAACTTAAACCTGTCATTGTTTTGGTTGTATGTCCCATGGGTTTGATTTTTGTTCTTATGTTTGTGCATAATTTTCCTGATTGGTTGATAAATTGGATTGATTTCAATGCGCTTGTTGATTGTTGATTGACATGAGTGCCAAGCTTCTAAAAATTCTCTGATGTTTTTGGAATTTCGTTTATCCAAAATTTCCACATTTTCCCAGTCGAATATGTTTCCGCAGTTGTCCACGTACACGTGGACAGTCATTGGGCTACATCATAAACTCATTGAAATCTGTGCAAACCACTGTAATCTAGCTTAGCAATTTAAATCTATTGCGCTGATTGAGAGATATGAACAGATTGGTTTCGATTTGTGGTAGAGTTGCGTTAGTCTACTTTTACGTTGGACTAGGTTACTTACTTAATTACACCTGTTACCCTTCGTCGAGCAACATAGGCCGCGCATCAGAATTCTCCATCAAACTCTGTTTTGGACAATCCTTTCCAGTTATTTCTAGTTGCTATTCATCCCTTTAATGTCTGCCTTTAATTTTCAACAAAGTGTGTTCTTCAACCTTCGTCTTTTCCATTTCCATTCAAGATTCCAAGTTAGCGTTTGACTTGTGGTGGAGTTTGATGATTTCCTCAATGTCTGACATATCCATTTCCATCGTTTTTTCCTAAATTCCTCTTCAACCGGAATCTGATTTGTTCTCTCCCATTGTAGACTTTTTCTGATGGTATCCAACCAACGGACATTCAGTAGCTTGTGTAGACAATTGTTTATAAATACTTGTACTGCTTTAATAATGGTTGTAGTAATTCTCGAAGTTTCAGTTACATACAGTAAAACTGTGTTGACGCTTGTATTGAAGATTGTGACATCGATATTGGTTGACAGATAGTTGTTTTGAGTTCCATATGTTCTTTATTTGTGGGAATGCTATTCTGGTTTTGCCAATTCTCACCTCTACGTCTTTATCAGATCCTCAACGTTCATCTATGAAGCTGCCCAGACACGTGAAACCTTCCACCTCCTCCAGAGTTTCTCTATCAAATGGGATTACTTTATTGCTTCCTGTGTTATAGTTGAGAATGCTGTTTTGTCCCTTGTGTAGATTGAGGCCTAATGTTGCAGAGGCTTCTGCTTTACTGTTCGTCTTGATCTGCATTCGTTGTTGTGTATGGGATAGGAGAGATTGGTCATCTGTGAAGTTCAAATAGTCTAGTTGTATCCAACGTGTCGATTGTATTTCGTGTTTCCCCTTAAATGTGATGAAGATCTTCATAATCCAATCGAACACCAGAAAAAAGAGAACATGGGAGAGTAAGAAGCTTTGTCCAGTGATAGTGCTACATTAGAATAACATAGCTGTTCGATAATCAATAGTGTTTTATTAATTAATGTCTATATATGATCGAGATCATCTTCAAATGAAACTGATTATCCAAAACCTTTTAACAAATATACAATAACATACATTTAAAGACTCAATATAAGTGATGACAAAGAAATCTTACTCATTGTATTAGTAGTTGGTAATATTGTCTGTAATGAAGGTTCTAATCCATAAACTGTTTGTTCATTAATTGTAGTTCTTTGTTGTTGATTATATAATGTTTGATTAGTAAATATTGGAAGACGTAATGTACATGGTAATGCACCTTGTTTATGAATATGATAATGAACAAATGCTGCTAAACTTGGAAATGTTGGATCACTAGAGAAACCACGTAAATGTACTCCATTACCACGACCATCATGCATTGGAACTGTACCAATTAGAAAATGACGTACCCATTCAGATTGAATATCCTCTGTGAATTAGTAAATAAAAAGAAATATAGATTAGTATATAATTTCATGTTTTAATTTTCTATACATGTATATTTGATTTGAAGATTAGCATATTGATAACACCATGTTAGTAATGCAGAGGTTCGACATCGTGTGTTCAAGCACAATGATGATAATTCAATTAGGGTCACTATCTTGAAACATTGACTTCGATGGCTTAAACATATCCTACGAATATTATTACAGAGAATTCCACGTCGTGCATTAGTCGCCGACGTTAGGACTGATTAGAAAAAGCGAAGAGATAATCAGTGTATGACATAGTATCATGATATGAAAGAAAAGTGTACAAGACTGGTTTCGGTTGATCCATCACAACTACCTGGTAAGGTTTCTAGAAATGGTGCAACTGAGGCCCTATTAGATATGAATAAATGAATCTTTTAAAGATTATACATTTCAACTTATCATAAATAACTTGGTCTATTGTACTACATTGTTGTAGGTAATTAGCAGGAAACTGTTATAACTTGTGACCTGTGTGCCCTGTTTACTGTTTAATGTAACGATACCGCCAATTAGAAAGCAGCAAGTTATCGATCGGGCCAGTGACACAAAATTCGTACGAGCGGTTTAGAGTCCTTATCGGTCCTACATACTGTCTAGTCCTTCCTGTTGAGTCCAGAACATCAATCTCAGCCTCCGTGATATCAATCCTGTATTTTAAACATACTGTGTTTATATACCAACCAGACAGACCACATTGTACCATAAAATAGGAAACAACATTTGTACAAGATTTACGCATAGAATCGGTCGATAAATGGATCCCAAAAGTTACCATTCATTATTCTTATCGGGATATAACAGAAACCTTCCTTAAACTGAATATGTCACTCTTTAATTCACATCAACGGTAAAGCTTATCTATAATCTTAAAGAAATGAATTCTACTTCTGAGATTCAATACCATTTCAGTTAATGTAACAGTTTAGAACTCAATTAAACAGGTTACAACTATATTTACATTAATCCATAATCTATATCTCTTATTAGCCTACATATATGTTGTATGCAGTATAAGCTATATGGCTATGTAGAGCTGAAGGTCTCATATGAGACTGGAGGTTCACCATTCGTATTGTGGATGATCCAGCATTGCTTTAGCAAGTTTTGCTGACTGTTCATGTACAAAATTAGTTTGCTGATTAACAGATTTCATTCATACTGGTGATTGCATTTCAGTGTTCTAAAGGGCCATTGCCATTGGGACATTGTAAGACATATCTCCATTGCTAATATGAATGAGTTTGACTGTCGTGTAAGCAGAATAGGTCAACGTTGGTCTATTCATGCTGTGCATAATTGATTCAAGCGATTATTGATCAGAATAACTGTACATGTAAGGTAAATGTGTATATGAATGGTGCGAATCGTGCACCACAGTGCTGGGTACCTGTTTGGTTGCTCAACAGGATTGAGTTGTATTATTCAGATTGTAGCATTAAAGCCTATATGGTGTCTGGTTCTTCTGTGAAATGGAATTGAGCTGTACTGTTCGGGTTATAAAATTTAAGCCTGGGTGGTATCTGACTTCCTGTGAAACAGGATTGAGCTGTACTGTCTAGGTTGTCACGTGAAAGTCTGTACGGTGTCTGATTCTCCTGAAAATCAATGTAAAATTACCATGGCCCACAATGGTATATTATATAACTAACTATAATTTATATCAAAGGGTAATATAATTAATATTATTCATTATAGAAGTGTATAACTAACCTTTATTAGATATAACTCTAGGTGAATTTGGAGGAATTTTCAATGCTAAACCAAAACTATCAGCATATGTATTACTATTACGTATAACAAAACTTCCAGGTTCTTTATCACGTAATAATGCAATCACTAAAATCAAATATTACATAATATTAAAGTAGATTATTATCTTTCCATTGATTACAATGAATTATCAGAAGGGGTTTTGTGGAGGTTTTAGTAATTTCAATAATTGAAATCATGGGTCAGTTGAAGCTAGACCACTATGAAAAACCTGGAAGCACCATTAAACGCCGATTCAGTAGAATAATGGTTAAGACTCACGCGCCAGACTGGTAGATCCTGCGTTCGAATCTCTCGGGGGACGGGATCGTGGATGCGCACTACTGAGGAATCCCATACTAGAAAGAAACGGTCGTCCAGTTCTTCCATAGTGATCTAGCTTCAATTTCAACCACAATCAAATCAAACAATTTTAATATAACTAATATGCAAGCAAGACTATGATATATTAACGAGCCAATCAGAAGTGTTTAAAAGATTTCAGGGTCACGGCGCCGATTTCAATACCTAATTCCTATGTACAATTGGTTCATAGATAATTTTAAAGAAAATGGGATAATTGAGCGGCTATAATTAGTGAGACTATTTAGAAGTTCCTTTATTTGTAATTGTGATAATCAGATGACATGTTGACTTTGTGTAGACTATCGTGATGTTGGCCCTCAAATGCCCTAGTACGGCCGAGAGTGAGGAGAGTCAGCTTTCCCTCTCCAAACGCTCTCACATGGCCACGTGTATACAACCACTGCCATGGAAGTCCTACATACTGCCTCCTCGCACCACGGGTGTTACTTACGAAATTGAGAGGATCAAAATTGAATGTCCGGAGTTCTGATCGGGTTGGTGGACACGGAGAGTCCATTTAGTGGAGTCGGAAAACCCTCATTTTAAGGCAGTATTGCACCTGGGTTACAAGATTCTGAAGGAACAAATGGAGTATGAACTAATCGACAGATATCAGTAGCATACACCACAATTATCACTATCTGTTTAGATAAGTCAACTACAATTGTAATTTGAACTAATACAGTTTCTATTGTAATTGTCTGAGATTGTTCCAATTGAATGTACAAATATAGAACATTGCGATTTGATACAATGTAGTGTTCATTGAGAAATCAGATCATTCCAGATTTTATCAAATTATATACAGAAACAGATATCTTCTTTGGTACACTATCGCTTTCTGTAACAATAATTTATTGTTTCATTCCAACAACGTGTTGAATAACAGTTCCACATTGTCACTAGTCCTTTTGAGTTGTTTTATCATTAATAAATTTCTGGAAACAGATGATGATGTTAACATGAATCTGGTATCCGAAGGAAGATTTCGATGGAGTTTTGTTCTCTGAGTTGAATGATTTGGTCGTAGAGCTTTCATTATTCATCTGAACAACATCATTGTCAGCACAAACTTCTACGTCTACCTAAAGAAAGAATTTACCACCCTCAATATGAGGATGACATTGTCCTACAGTGGAATGATCTATAGACTATCCAATTTTTAGCTAGTCAATTATTAATCATTATTCATTAGTGTTCGTATACCCTTTGGGACTTTCAAATACAAAGAATGAAAGAAAGTAATACCTTTTCGTCTTTTGAATTATTCGCTAAAGAAGTATCCACTGTTGAGGATACAACATAACTTATAATCTAAATAGTCAGCTTAAAAATACTGATCAATAAGTGATTATTGTAAAATTGTACTGGACTACTGAAGTACATGAAATTGATCTAAATTAACATATTTACGATCTAGCGGAGGAAGAAATCAGAAAGAAGCACTGTAATTGAATAGGACACACATTAAGGAAAGCACCCAACTGAGTCACAAGGTTGGTCCTCACCTGGTACCCTGAAGGCCAGAGGAGGAGAAGAAGATCAAAGAACACATTACGCTGAGAAATGGAGACAGACATGAGAAGAATGGACAAGAATTGGATATAAGTTGAAAGGAAGGCCGAGGACAGAGTGGGCTGGAGAATGCTGGTCGGTGGCTTATGCTCCATTGGGAGTAACAGGCGTAACTAAGTAAGTAATACATTTACAATATATAAGATCATTTTATTGTGAGAAAACTATACAAGAGAGACAAATCAATATTTATTTATGTAATGAAACTATACCATCGACATCTGGTCGATGATGAATCCTGATGAGCGTCTTATGCTCCTTGATGAGAGATAACAGGCGTAAGTAAACAAGTATCTAATATCAATTGCTTATAATTCAAAACATAGTGATATATGAATAAACATACCATCAGGACGTGAAATTCCTGGTAAATACCAATATTTAGATGTATCAAGTACTTGACGCATTCCTACTGTATCACCATCTACAATATCAACACCAATATTCGTTCCAGATAAACTTCCATTTGGTGAAACTGAAATGATGATAATAATAATAATAAGGATAGTTTCAGTGGAAATTCTTTTGTTCTGTAAATGGTATATGTGAGAAATTTATTGCGAATTGATTGAAGTACGATTGACTGAGAACTCAGCAGTCTAATGTTTAAACATTAATTGCTAGATTAGACAGATCTTGGGATTGTTCTGATAAAGAGTGTTTTTCTAAGATGAATTACTTTCAGAGTGTTCTCTGATATCCAGTAGTACTATAAATGGAATCAGTATGTGAAGAGTACCGTCTCCCATATAGTTAAAGATGCTTTTACTACTAAAGCAAAAGCTCAGGATTCTAGTCAGTCACTCCTCTACAACGTAGGATCAGGTACATATATGCATCAGTTCAAGTTACCATGCATCATTAGCACAACAAGGTAAACACCAATTTCATAGAAGTAGTTACTTCAATGGTAGTGTGGTATGTGTTACTTATATCGATATAAGTAGTATATGACGTTAGTCAGGGTATTAGGATATAGTACAGGAAGAAAGAATTAGTTCGTATAAAGAAAGATACAAAGCAATTTTAATCTAACGGTTTAAGGGAGAACAGAGAGTGTATACACTGACTCCAATGTGATCGACTCTGAACCATGTCACCCAGGGTTCTAGTAAGTAGCTGTAACTCACAGTTTTGAAACTGATACAATTAGTGAGATTAATGAGAGTCTTACAATATCATAAAGTGATCAATATTGAATGCCAACTAAGTCATTCAAAGACTGAGTGCTAGTTGACGATCCATAAATGTGATTGATTCAATTAACTGAAATCATTCCATAATAGTAACCTATCAATCTCATATCATCTTAGAGAATGATAACAATATAGCTGAAAGAATTCAGTTATCTTACATGTTACTACTGATAAATAGAAAACAAACTATTAAATTAATCTTAGAAAGGGTTTTCTGTGAATATTGAAGTCCTTTTAATAGTTGAGATCATGAATCAATTGAAGCTAAACAATCATGAAAAACCTGGCAGCACTGGATGACCGCTCCAAATCTCCCAAGGCAGGATCGTGAATGTACACTACTGAAGAGTCCCACCATAGGACGAAACGGCTATCTAGTACTTCCAGATTTTTCATAATGATCTAGTTTTGATTGACTTATGATCTCAACTATTAATATTAAATCAATCATCATGTTCATTTACTCGTTTATATATATATATAATATACATACATGGTATAACAGATTGTTGAACTACTGATCGATTCACTATTGGTGTTGCTTCATATTGTGAATTATGTCTCATTGTTCCACTAAATATTGATTTAAAAACAAAAAGAAACACAACAAATAAAGACAAATAAATAAACATGTTATCAGTTTGATATTCTTTTAACATCAAATTACATCATAAGGCAAGCCTTAACATGGAATCTTGAAAGGAAACTTAAAAGAGGAATGCCAAAAAATATACTATGTCAGGAATCGGAAGCAGATATGAGAAGGATGAATAGTAACTGGGAACAATTGGAAAGGATTGTTAAGAATGGAGTTGGATGGAGAATGATTGTCGGTCGCTTATGTTCTACCACGAGGAGTAACAGGCGTAAGTAAGTAAGTAAGTAAGTAAGTAAGTAAGTAAGTAAGTAAGTAAGTAAGTATAATTGTTATTTTTAATAACTTGAGTGATTTATTGTGATGAATGAACTATTCCAGTAATTTTAAATGATCCTCAGTTCGAATCTCTCGAGGCAGGATCTTAAATGCGTACTGCTGAGGAGTCCGATAGGCGTTAAAGAAATTTGTATGATTCAATTAGCTTTAAAGTATACCGTATTTGTTTTGTGAGCATGATTTATACTGTGGGTCAGTAGACTGATAATAATGATAAGAATGATCATCTTCTATTGATTACCTATGATAAATCTACACTCTTGGAATTCAATGTTAACAGTTCTCTATGTAGCACACGATTGAAAGCAGCAAACTCAAGGTCCGAAGGCGAAGTCGTATTGCTGACTGTACAAAGGTGTGACGGCAGTAAGCTGTTTCCCTCTGACAACTAGCATAACAGCAATCCTGCTTGACCACAAGGAGGGGTGTGGTTAGAAAAGGTCGACCCTAAAAATGCATACCTCGACTTATCCCACGGTTATCCGTTTCCGGCATTAAAGTTCCAACAACTACAAAGCTAACACAGAAATCACTCACAAAAAGGTCGTGTGTAACCGATCTTGAGCAATTGTACCTTGGGCATTACAATCTTGCCCTCAGTTCATTCAGATCACCTTTAACTCAATTCCCTTTTCAATTACCTCCAGAAGAATCCTTCCACGGTATGAACAACCGGGAAGTGATAACTGCCCTAATACCTCTAACAGCACTCAAGATCACTGTATTCTATAAAAACAAATATAATTGTGTCAGTGAGAACGGTGAGACTACAATTTATGTACGACCTTTGAGCGACTCGAAAAATGATCTTGAGAATATCCATCTATATACTAAGGCTAAATTAGGGTTATAAAGCAGTTTGAAGAATACCGATTATGATTCGTAGTTTATGGTTAGGGTTAGAAATTGAATCTAGGGATTTCATCACGAACTGTTATCAGCTAAAATGCCAACACTCTATTTCTTCAAATGGTTGAGTGAAGTTCGCGCCAAAATCCAACACCTTTTATCTTAAATCTGATTGGTTCGTTTATAAATTATAACCTCGCCGTGAGAATAATTTTACCCCTTCTCATTTAGTATCCCACTATCAATAATATACAAAAGAAATTACATTATGTAATTTCAGTAAAACAATGCATAAGCATAATGAGAATAAAAGAAGTGAATAACTAACAGATATGGTGATTGTGGTCCAGATGTATGCATTTCACGATGATAATTTGTTGTTGCAATTGTACGAAAACCATCTTGTTGTTCTAATCCAGGAGCATATGATCTATTTGCTAGTTGAAAAATATTATATTATTAATTGAAATCATTAATGTTAATTATCAAAATGACGTTTTTGTGGATATTGTAGTAATTTGAATAGTTGAGATCATGAGTCAATTGAAGCTAGACCACCATGGAAAACCTGGAAGCACTGGACGGCCGTTTCGTCCTAGTATGGGACTCCTCAGCAGTGCGCATCCATGATCTCAACTATTAAAGCCGTGACCAGTGGAGTTCAACCAGGTCTGTTGTGAGATATCAGCTCACTGAAGACAATGGTGACGGTGGCGCAACTTCGTGGATTAGTTGAAGTTAGGAATTAACACCGTTGGATGCCGGCTCAGTGGTCTAGTTGGTTAAGCGCCTGGCGCGAGACTGATAGGTCCTGGGTTCGAATCCCGCGGGGTGCGGGATCGTGGATGCGCACTGCTGAGGAGTCCCATACTAGGACGAGACGGCCGTCCAGTGCTTCCAGGTTTTCCATGGTGGTCTAGCTTCAATTGATTCATGATTTCAACTATTGAAATTACCAATTCTCCACAAAACCCATTCTAGTTAAATGTTTGTTAAATGTTATTATGTAAATAAGTAGTATATAGTTAATTGTTAAATTATATGTTAACGAAATGAATAACCATGATTAATATAATGTAATGTGAAACAAGCATTTCTTTAAATGATCATCACTTCAATTCATTTATAACTCAATAATATAGTGAATTAATAATTGGAAAAATTGGTATAATTGTGATGTGTACTACTGATATTGATAGATATAAGTAGTATATAATATATCATCAAATAAAAGTGAAATGCCTGGCGGTAAAAGGTTAAGAAGTTCGAAGAGAAAAGAACAAGAACATAGAATGATTAGGGTAGAAACGAAAGAACAATGAAGTCTGAGACGATTGATTACCATTTTGCAAATTAAGTATTTATTGTTTGGTTCTCAGATATTACCAAGTGTTTCTGTCATTTTGTATTCAAATACATTCGATTGTTCCCACTTATGTTCTCGTTCACTACACTCTTAGCCAGATACATCAAATAACTATGAATAGTCTTTTAAACATATAGTTTAATGAATGCATCAGAAACTGACGTTGAATAAACAATCATTGAATATGGTAAAGGACTGAGTTGTTGCTTTTTAGTACCAGATTCAATAGTGCTCATCAACAACCTCACCGGGAATCGAATCAAATACTATCAGGTGTGGCAGCAAGAGTTTTCTCTTCCAGCTATCGAGTTAGAATCTAATGATTAACATATCAAACTTCATTCAATTAGGTTGTCTAACTATGATCAGTCAGAGATGTAAATTATAACACTTAACAATCTCCTGAGACTCCTCATGTTAACTTGGCTTTCAGTTAAGAAGAATTGTACAGATTCAAGTCTTCTAACCCTCTCTATCTTCGATTCATAATGCATTTATTGTGTGTATAAGCTGTAGATTTACCTAGATTTGTGATGTTAGTCAGTTGACTGGCAAATAATACAAACAACTGTGTATAGTTGCAATCACGATATAATCCTAATTTCTATTAGATTATATTGCAAACTATTGTTATTATTATCAGAAGGGGTTTTGTGGAGATTGTAGTAATTTCAGTGGTTAAGATCATGAGTCAGTTGAACTTAGACCACCATGGAAAGCCTGGAAGCACTGAACGACCGTTTCGTCCTATTATGGGACTTCCAGGTTTTCCATGGTGGTCTAGCTTCAATTGACTCATGATCTTAACCATGGATATTGTTATTATCACGTATGATTTGCCAACTGTCTATTAGACAACATTTCTGATGGTATATTATGTCCCCTAAACTGTATGAAGATTTCATTGTCATTCTAGACAAAATCGTCATCATCACCGTCATCGTGCACTTTAGAAAGAAGTAAGCAATTAGAATATCTCCACCGAAATGACTACCAGCTTGTTCTACTGACTTGAGATTTGATGGGTTGGTTGATTGATTTTTGTCCGTAGTTCTATTGTATTTTATAAATATTCAATGAATCTGTAGTGTTGGTTACTATATTAAGCCCATATAACATATTCTAGCTTCTGGGCAGATCATTCTTCTAGAGTCACACACACACATATGCCTTCTCTATTGCTCGTCATTTCTTTTCGCTCTCTTCACTTTGCTTTGTTCCTCTGATGGTCTGTTCAAATCAATGATTTTACGAAATATACATATTCAACATCCATTCTAGTATTTGACTTATGTAATTCCATTATTCACTAACGTGGATTACATACGAAAATAATCAGGATGTATATTTCCACAGCAATCATTCAATAACAATCATTTGTCCGATCTAAATGGAGATAGATTTAGGGACACAAAAATGTTGAGCCCGTCGACAACATAATCCGATCTAATTAGAGTCAGATCTCGGGCCACTAAATGTCGATCAATATTAGAAAAAACTGGTTATCATAAAATACTTCTTTTATATGAAAACATTAATGCTGCTTCTAAAAAAACTTTGGCTAACATTTCTGATTAGATGGAAACAACCTATAACATTATGTTAATCAATATATAGAAGTTGTAATAATCTTTACACAACTGATGCAGATGTGAAGGCGCGGATCCGAAAAGCAACAGTAGTATATTTACAACTGAAGAACATCTCGAACTCAAAACAACTGTCTTTCAACCAACACCAAAACCAGAATTTTCAATGCACATATCAAGACAGTTCCACTGTATGAGTCGAAAATTTGGAGAACTACGAAAGCCATCATCGAGAACATACAAGCGTTTATTGATAATTATCAACACAAAACACTTCGAATCTGTTAGCCAGAAACTACACTATTAGCAACAACCTACTGTGGGAGAGAACAAATCAGATCCCAGTGGAGGCAAAATCACGAAGAAGCGGATGAGAATTTGATAGGACACACACTGAGGAAAGCACTCAACTGAGTCATAAGGCAAGTATTCACTTGGAATCATCAAGATCAAAGGAAAAGAGGGAGATCAAAGAACACATTACACCGAGAAATGGAGAGAGACATGTTACAAATGAACAAGAATTGGATAGAAGTAGAAAGGAAGGCCGAAGACAATTTGGGTTGGAGAATGATAGTCGGCGGCCTATGCTCTATTGGTAGTAACAGGAGTAAGTAAGTACTTCCTGTGTTCTTTCACTACGAATGTCATTAGTTTACTTTCAGATAACTTTTATGCTAGCCATTATATGATGGGTTTATATGAGTACTATGTACTATTCACTCAGTTGTTTCACTTAACGATACCTTTGATGATATATTGGTCAATGATACATGTCTTATAAATTTATAATGAATATTTGATCGTCACAAAGTTTTTAAAAAATCTTAGATTTCTAAGGATGATGGTTGAAGGTAGTTAACAAGTAAATCTAGACTTAGGTTTCGTGTTAATTTGTACTCGTCAAAAAGATGTACCTACAATCTTAAGGAAACTGATACTCTCTGACAGATTTCAATCCCATATCACCCAGCTTTACAGTCATAGATATTACCACTGGATTATCTGGGCCACGACTGTGATCTTTGATCTACACTAAGAAGGATCTAACATACATGACATTGATCCTCATTTGGTAATCAATCAATTGATATATTGACATACATATATATCATCTATGTTACCAGTGAAATAAACTGTTATACACTGAACATTGTCATTAATCATTGATCTGGTTAGTATAATATTATGTTATACGTGTTATTAGAAAAAGTAAACATAAACAGAAACAAATCACTCAAATAATCGATTTGGTTAAAAGAAATCAATAAACAACCATGAGTAGATCAAAGATGACATAATCATCACAATAAGGTTATATATATATATGTATATATGTAATCCAATGATTAGCATGAATGGAACTAAACTAATTTGCTTCAATTATAAATAAGCTATATATATATATATATATAGATAGATACATTTATTTAGTTGTAAGAAGCGTATTATGAGAAGCGTTATATTTTATTCACAATTACCTAACTTATTATGATGACTAGATATTGCATAATAGGGTTGATTAGATAATAATTGTTGTTTCTGGGTTATTTCTTGAATATTTTGTGTAAGTGTTTGCCTGGCATATGAATTTCTATGCATCATATATGTTTGATTGAATAATTCTGATGATGGATTATTTATAGAATTCCATTTATTGTTACCATGACTACTATTATACATCATATTATGATGATGATGTATAATAGGTAGTATATTTTTATTGATACTTGATATTCGTGATGAATGATCAACTAAACGTCGATTTATAGATGGACTTAATAATGCTTGTGTTGTTTGACTATATGGTATATCAATAGTACTGCGTTGCATTCTTATTGGACTATAATTATCTTTACTAATCGATCGTTTTATTCCTGTTACTGATAAATCTATTCTTCCAGCTGATGAATGAGGTCGATTAATTAATGTTGGAAATGTTGATATACCTGAAAAAATTGATTGATATTAGAAGAGTAGTAGAATCATTTGATATTTGTTCTTCTTTTGTATATTAATAAATGTCGATATATACTTTAGTCATTGAACAGTGTTATGAAGTGTTTAGCATTAGTAACTATGTTAACATATTTACAATTCCTTAATGAATATCACGGTTACTAGATAGAAATCATTAGATACTCACATAGTAACCATTTCCTAGACTTCTATAATCTTTGATACTTCAATTCCAAATGGATTTTTTGATTGAGATCATGAATTGAATGATTTTAGACCACCGTTGGAAACCTGGAAGCACTGGATGGCCGTTTCGTCCTAGTATGGGACTCCTCAGCAGTGCGCATCCACAATCCCGCTTGCGGGATTCGAACACAGGGCCTTCAGTCTCACGCGCGAACGCTTAACCTACTCGACCACTGAGCCGGTATCCAATGGTGTTAGTGTCTAACATCAACCAATCCAAATGGTTTGTAGAAATATGAAAGATACATTATGAAGATCAGTTTATATACAGAAAAGACGGAATATCATGTGAGTATAATGTTCTAGAAGCTTCAAGAAACGTTACTATACATTATGATGATCCAATTAAATGTATAGCGCATTATAAGTTATTTATAAGATGATTTTAAGATTCTTAGGAATTAATCAAATCGTTTTAAAGGATTCCGGCCACTGAATCCTTTACAAAAACTACTGAATTTCATTCTATCAGTAATATATTGAACCGTTTTTCTTTCTTTTAATCAGTAATAGAACTAATGATATTCATGTAAACATCTTATTAAAAGTATACCTGAAGTTTATGCTGTTGATGATGATGTTGTTTAGAAGAACGACGAAAGTTCCATGATCAAACTATCCAGCTCAAAGAATAAAACTCCACCCAAATATAAGTGTATCATTATATGTAATTAGTGGATATTTTCGAAAAAGGATAGTCGAGAAGGCTATCACTTACTCGGTACTTATTTTGTTAATTATGTACCATTAGTGATATTTGTATCATAAGACTATTAAAGACAAGTATCATAAAGAGTCCGCTGAAGCCACTAAGCTAGGTTCATGATTCATTATATATTTTTGGGTTATGATAATGATCCTTCCATAGGTTCAACAACAGAAACCTTGTTATGACTTTTACTTCACCTAAATATCAGAAGGGGTTTTGTGGAGATTGTAGTAATTTCAATGGTTAAGATCATGAGTTAGTTGAAGCTAGACCACCATGGACATTAACACCTTTGGATGCCGGCTCAGTGGTCTAGTGGTTAAGTGCTCGCGCGCGAAACCAGTAGGTCCTGGTTTCGAATCTCGGGGGGGCGGGGTCGTGGGCGCGTACTGCTGAGGAGTCTCACAGTAGGACGAAACGGCCGTCCAGGTTTCCCATGGTGGTCTAGCTTCAACTAACTCATGATCTCAACCATTGAAATTCACCTAAATATTCAAATTTGGTCACCTTTTCAGCATCAATCGAAAGATAAAGCCACTACAACGAAACCAATTCAACGACCTCACTAAACTATTCAATCGGTAGTCATGACGGGAGGTGTTCATAAAGAGTCATCATAAACATGAATGAATAATACGACAATAGGGAACTTAATTAATCACGTAATACAATAATGAATGTTTCATACGAAGCACATACAGAATATTATGAACCTATTCCTATTCTCACAAAAAGTGACCCTTTAACAAACCATTGAAACAATACTGATTATCATAACTGTTTGTAGAGAAAAATTGAATAAACACATAAGACACCATTTCAAAACAGTTTCTGATATTCTAAGCAAAGATCAATAGTGGCTAGCAGTGAAATCCAGGACATGTGTTTCGTCCTATTTATGACTCATCGGTTGGGTGTACCTACATCTCAGACTTCTTGATGTTCACTCTGGGTTTCGAACCTAGTACTGTTCACTTCAAACACAATCACATTATATTGACATACTTTCATAATATAAGATTGTTACATATAAATTACGCTTAAATAATTAAAAGAAACAGTAAACGTTATATTATCAAAACTAACCACTTGGTGTTGTAGCACGAACTGATCTAGCTATGGAACCAGTTGGTGGTTCTAAATCGTGTACACCACGACCAATTGGTTGTAATGTTATTGTTTCCATTTCTTCTAAAACAGCTCGACTACCAACTGATCTGGAATCATGTAATTGTCTATTTGAAGCTTGCTAAAATATTCAATAATATTCAACAAACATAATGAATTATGTTCATTATCATGAATAGAAATGTAATTTATTTACAGTAAAGTTTCAGAGCTCGTACCGTCCTACTTTATGGTAGTGAAACATGGCCGGTAAGAGTAGAGAATATTCGTAGGTTACTAGTATGCGATCATAGGTGTCTTCGAAACATTGCTCATATATCCTGGGACCACCGAGTAAGTAATGCAGTTGTTAGGAAACGGGTACTAGTTAAGGATGGCAAATCAATTGATGAAGTAGCGAAACCTAATCAGTTGAGATGACTGGGACATGTGTTACGTATGTCCGACCACCGACTGCCCAGACGTGCAATGTTTTATGGTGTAGGAGTAGGTTGGAAGAAGGCTAAGGGCGGCCAGAACAAAACATGGCACAAATCCATGAAGTCACTGACAAGTGGACTGAGCGATGTTGATAGGTGTAGACTACCTAGTCGCGATCCGCGAGATGATAACAACCGATGGTTAAAGACCTTGAATGACATGGCTGAAAATCATTTGCAATGGTGCAGGTGCATCCACAGTTTGTGTTCTCCCAAATTGTAATCTTCTGAATTCTTCATGTCCTTTATTTTCTTTCCAAATTCATTTAGCTAGATTATACTCCTTAAACAACATCACCAAACTCTAATATTTCCGATCACCGCTTATACTTTTACTACCTCTACCATTACGGGATTTGAATCGATAACTGAATCTCTGTGCTAATTTGGTATGACAACTCGAACTGATGTACGCACGTACGAAGTTCTACGTTGTTACTGACTGACTAACTGAAACTTTGAAAGCTCTTAGGTTATTTTTCTTCTGAAATTATCCTCGACATCCTCCATATTCTTCAAGCGGAACGTGTTCAGAACTATCGATTAGTATATCACTTATTTAGTGTATGTGAAGTTTTCATGAAAGATTTCATTTCATTGCCTAACTATTGATTATGCTAGGGTCTTTTATCTACTGTAGGAGAGAACAGGCCAGCTTCCAGATGAAGAAGGAATTAGGAAAAGACGATGGAAGTGTATAGAACATACATTACACAAATCATCAAACTGCATCACGAAGCAAGCCCTAACATAGAATCCCGAAGGTGAATAGAAAAGAGGAAGGCCGAAGAACATACTACTTCAGGAATCGGAATCAGATATGAAAAGGATGAATAGTAAATGTAAACAACTGAAAACAATTGCCCACGACAGGATTGAATGGAGTGTACTGGTTGGTGATCTATACTCCTCCACGAAGGATAATCATGTTTACTCGAAATAAAATATCAAAAAAAAAAGATATTACATAACTCACAATTATACTTACACTATTTCGCATCTAAAAATAAACATACAAAATTTGTCCAAGTTCAAATGAATTTGACATTCAGATAGAAGTTTGTAAAGTCTCATCTAAAATGTGTCATAAACTTTCTTCACTACTACTCTAATCAATCCTATAACTTCCATGGAATCAGTGTAAATGGTTAGATAATTAATACAAAGTTTGAGACGAAACTCATATTTTGGTTCGTACAGGTTAGACGAAGAGGAAATGTTTGTTATTCTGAAGGAACTGATGCTTCCGTTGAGATGTGAATATGTGATACTAAATTATTCAAACTTCAATTGACCTCCTACAGGGGCATCACTGTTCTTACAATACCAAGAAAAGTTTTCAAAAGGGCATTGGTGAACAGGATGAAAGACTCCATAGACTCCCAACTGCGAGACCAACAAACTGAATTTCTTAAAGATCGATCGCGTACAGACCAAATCGCAACACTACGGATCATTGTGGAACAATCAATGGAATAGAATTCATAACTCTACGTCAAATTCATTGACTACGAAAAAGCATTTGATAGCGTGAACAGGACAAAACTATGGAAACTTCATCGACACTAAGGCGTGCCTCAGAAGATAGTCAATATCCTACGAAATTTTTATAATGGATTAAACTACAAAATCGTTCATGGAGGACAATTAACAGACGTATCCGAGGTAAAGACCGGTGTCAGTCAAGGTCGCTTACCCTAACCCTTTATTTTTCTCCTGGTGATCGACTGGATCATGAAGACGCCAACATCTGAGAGGAAGCATGGGATACAGTTGACAGCTAGGATGCAGCTGGACGACCTAGACATAGCAGATGATCTGGCTCTTTTATTGCAAACGCAACAACAAATGAAGGGGATGACATCCAGTGTAGCAGCAGCCTCAGCAGCAGTGGGTTTAAACATACAGAAAGTGAAAAGAAAGATTCTCCGATACAACACAGCATGCATCAATCCAATCACACTTGACGGAGAAACTTTGGATGATGTAAAAACCTTGACATATCTTGGCAGCATCATTGATGAACACGGTGGTACTGATGCAGATGTGAAGACAAGGATCGGCAAAGCAAGAGTAACATATTTACAACCGAAGAACATCTCGAACTCAAAACAACTGTCTGTCAACCAACACCAAAATCAGAATTTTCAATACAAATGTCAACACAGTTCTATTGTATTGGACGGAAAGTTGAAGAACTACGAACATCATCATCCAGAATATACAAATGTTTATTAACAATTGTCTATACAAAATACTTCGGATCCGTTGACCAGACACTATGATCAACAACCTACTATGGGAGAGAGAATAAACCACATTTCAGCGGAGGAGGAAATCAGGAAGAAGCACTGGAAGTGGATAGGACACACATTGAGGAAAGCACTCAACTGTGTCACAAGGCAATCTCTCACTTGGAACCCACAAGACCAAAGGAGGAGAGGAAGACCAAAGAACACATTACGCTGAGAAATGGAGACAGATATGAGGAGAATGAACAAGAATTGGATAGAACTAGAAGGGAATGACGAGGACAGAATGAGTTGGAGAATGGTGGTCGGCGGCCTATGCTTTATTGGGAATAACAGGCGAAAGTAAGTAAGTAAGTAAAGAAGGAACAATTGACCTCTGAGTGTTTAATTAGTTTTGTACAAAATTTATCAAATGTCATGTCTATATGATTATGAAATCTCTGAAGAAAAATGAGACCTATTAAACTTACCCAATCTTCTGTTGTTCTTCTTTGTTCTTGCATACGTCTCATATTTTCTTTATGAGCTGAATAGGTTGAATACATTGGTGGTTGTTTGCATGTTGAACTATTCCTTAAATTAGTTTCTAAATAATTTTTAAAAGAAAACATGTATGATATAATTATGCTTGATTGAGAATATATATTTAAGATCAGAAGGTGTTTTTGTGAGACTACTCCAGCAGTGAGCATTCACGATCCCACATCCCGAGATTTGAATCCTTGGCCTATTGGTCTTGCGCACAAACACTTAATCTCTAGGCCACTGAACTGGCATCCAACGGTGTTAATGTCTAACTTTAACCAATCCACGAAATTGCGCCACCGTCCGCCATTGTGTTCAGTGAGTTACTATCTCACAACAGACTCGGTTGTCATTATTAATCAAAGCTTATCCACAAGCTATATATGCTAATACATTGACTCTTGAAGGAACCAACTTTACAATAGAGACTATTTACGTGTATTTTTGTCATTTGATGATATAAGTGACTACTATTTATAATTGAATAACAGTGGCTTGTATTAACAAGACGGACATGCAATATTTGAGATTAACTAAAGGTCGTCTAGAGACCTGAATGTTCCACGTTTGGACCCTATCGTGTGGTCGTGGATCCACAATACTGCAGAGTTTTTATTATGAGCCAGCTGTTCAATTGTGTCTAGTTTTTAACAGTTGTTTAATCAAAATTATTGAGTTATGTAAAGCTTCAAATTCAACAGTCTTCTCAACACACAACAGTAGTAATGAAATAATGCTATACATAAGATATAGATCAAGATAGAAAACTGATGCATCTACATTACGGAAATCGATGTTAGATAAGTTAATTACAGTTTCAAACCCTCTCAAACCCCCTCACTTGATCATATTCACGGAAACAGATTAATCCGACAGTCATGAACTTTATGGAACCCTTAGTTAACCCGCCACAATAGCTGTTTTACTAACTAATTTTAAGCTAAACAGTATTTCATGTTTTGATAGATATTGGCTTGTCATCGTTAAGTGTCCCAGCCACTTCGGTCAAGAAGCGTTTATTCCGTGATAAGTATACGAATGTCTATTGGTAACGAAGTTTCATACCTCTCTTTGCTGATGAACATACACCACTTGTTGAAAGTGGGACAAGTGATCTCCTCAGCGAAGTAACTCTGTATAGGAGGCTGACAAATGATATATTAGTCATATGTGATAAGGAGTTACACGTATCTTGGTTATTAGATAAACACAATAATGCATAGAATAAGATACTACCTACTTAGAATGAAGGAAAGAATACCCGACTGCCGTTTTTAGACATAATTTGAAACGAAGAATGAGTGGAACTGTAAAACGATACATTCATAGGATGCTAACATGAAGTTGAAAATATTTGAACTTCCACAATTTCTATACATTACAGTACAACAGAACTCAACGAATATACACTACAAATCTGCTTGAGAAAGCAACAAAACAGCTAACCGAAAAGATTATTCGCTAAAGTTTATAAATTAGGGTAAACGTTAGCTAAAAAGAAGACTTCTTGCTTCCGTTACAAAGTAAAAGAGTTATATCACTATAACATTTAAATAAGAGAGTTAAATATCATACTTTTGAGAAAGAGACTAAAAGTAGACACTAAGAAAATATTCTATGCTGTTAAACCTATAATTTCACATAGGCTTAGACATTACATAACAGATTGCGTTACATCCTGTTAGATTTACCAATCCTTATGTTCATGTGGACAATGAAATAAAGAGCTGTGGAAGACATGTAACTAGATAACTTTAGAATCAGTTAATGTCATATACTTCGATAAATCCATGAGGTAGACAACCATATTCATTGAATGAATTCTTAGGTTCATAGAAACAAAACAATCTTAAATAGCCTTCAATGTACCCATAGTAATCTATTAGCTATACTATGGTCTATGATGATGTTATAGGAACTTTATATTCTTTCTATATTATGTTGATTGCTTTCCCCCATACCTTTGTTTACAATTATCATTTTATGTTTATTTGAACTTTGATTTATGTAACCTCTATTTGTTTTCATAGATGTTTTGAAAAGTAAAGTACAAATAGATCATAATTTACAGGTTAATTGTTTCATCATTATTAATCTATCAAAGTTTACATAAAGGGGCTAATTGTTTTAAATATGTACTAGATGAAACGAAATTGGTTGGGTATGAAATAGTCATTCATAGAAGGTAATAAAAGATGATCTCCTAATGTTGTAGACTGTCAGCGTAGGACCAGTCACACATATGCAGCGGTTCAAGATCCTATACCTCGTTAGCACAATATAATCAACATCGAATTCATAGAAGTAGTTACTTTAATGGTAGTAATGTATAAAAGAAAGATTGCATATAAGGATATAGTACAGGAAGAAAGAATTAGTTCGTAGAAAGAAAGATACAAAGCAATTTTAATCTCACAGTTTAAGGGAAGACAAAGAGGGTATACACTTACGCCATGGTGATCGATTCTGAGTCATGTCACACAGAGTTTCCAACCATTGGTTACGATAGTCGCACCGACCCCAAGTAAGTAGGCCGCATCTAACAACATGGCTAAGATTAGAAGTCAGTGGATTCAATGACTGATACCATGTTTTGGTTTGGCCGCCCTTAACTTTCTTCCAAAAATTCCCTATACTAGTCAGCATTGTGCATCATGGTAATCGGCGTTCAGGTATACATAACACGTGGCCCAACCATCTCAGTCGATGAAGATTTACAGCCTCATCGACTGCTTTACCATCATCATTCCCTAATGTCCTGCGTTCAAACCTCACTATTACTTAGTCGGTGATCCCAGCAGATGTGAGCAATATTTCTAAAACATCTGTGATAAAGTACCATAGCATACGAGTATCTTCTAACCTTAATGGCCACGTTTCTTAGCCGTCAAGTTGAACAGAACAAACTACTGTACAGTATACTAGTCCTTTAATTAACAAACTTATATCTCGCCTTCGCATAGGTAGTGATGTAAGTTGGCAAAAGCTAAACGAGCTTTTGAATTCGTACAGAAATTTCATCAATAATACCATTTAGTTCCATCTCAGTAGACTAAAAGTTCAATGTTCGCGCATGAAACCAAAAGTACTGGGTTCGATTCCATGCTATGAAATCATGGATGAACACTGATAAAGAGTCTTATACTAGGATGAAATGACTGTTTGGTGCTTCAAAGTTTTCAACAGTGGTCTAACTTTGATTGGTTCCAGATTTAAATAAAATTTAATATATACAATAATTTTGTAAAATTTAACAAAAATTAAAAGTGAATCCATTCTACATACCTGACAACCATGCAGTTTTAGTCATTGTACTAGGTCCACTTATGTTCATTTGACTTGATGTTCTTTGAGGTTGAACTTTTAAAGAAAGACAATAAAAAAAACAAACACTGTCTTCATAAGAACAATACGATATAAAGGAATTCAATGTAGACTTTGTTTAATAATTGAACTCATGAGTCAATTGAAGCTAGACTATCATGGAAAACAAAGAAGCACTGGACGACCGTTTCATCTACCTCAGTAGTGCGCATCTACCATCCCGTCCCGTCCTGTCCCCTCCACGAGATTTGAACCGAGTAGCTATCAGTCTCGCGCATGAATGCTTAACCTATAGATCACTGAGCCGATTTTGTTATTTGATTAAAACTTCAAATTTAACTGAATAGAATAGTAGAATGTTGTGAAGAGATTAGAAAGATTTGAAGAACATCAATGAACTAATGTAACTATAGATTTGTTTCAGAAAGGGGTTTTGTAAAGATTGTAATAATTTCAATGGTTAAGATCATGAGTCAATTGAAGGTAGACCATGAGTAGTTCTGAATAATGAACACTTTGTCTATTTCATTTAAACATCTTATAAAATAAACAATGAATCTATACTTTAATGAGATAGTGTTTAAGAATTTGATTCAATCATTATAATAATTCTTAGAGTAAACATGAACAAATCATAGATGTGATAGGTTCATTCAACTGACGAGTCATAATTTAGGACGAAACATGCCTTTTGGATTCCACTATTAGGCACCATTTATTAATGACAGATCTGTAATAATGTTTTGATCATTGTATTCATATTACACAAAACAATTGTCATGATGTAATAAGAACCTTTAAAAAAACAAAGGTGATAGATACATCAAATATGAAATGGGTTATGTTTTTACTGTGTATGTCTCTCTCTCTCTCTCGCTCTTTCGTTTTCTTTTACTGCACCCCACCCCCCTATCTCTCTGTCACTTTCTTTTACTTCCCCCCCCTCTCTCTCTCTATCCCCTACTCGAAGCATATGATTAACTGTCAGATTTACATTAGTTTTCTTAGAAAAAAAAAGAAATACATTTGTAATTGAAAAGTAGTTTATATAACAGAAACTATATATATATATAAATATACTAGTAGTATATCAGTAGTATATACATATCTCTATATTGAAAAATATACCTAATCATCTATGTATACACAACAATATATGATGAATAGAGCACATTGAAACACACTACAAATACCAACTTGTTGAATCTATGAAGTAGATTCATCCATATATATATATATATATATATATATATATATATATATATATATATATATATATAGTAATCATATGACATTACTATTACTACTACTTATACTATTATTGTTATTCAACATTGAATCATTCCATTTTAAAGAAAGAATTTTAAAACTTTTTAAAGTTTTAAAATATTCATTGGCGCCAATTCATAATTCAATAGATTTAAAGAAATAAATTTAGTTGAATAAAAAGTTTAGTTAATCTCTATGATGATTTTTATTTGTGAATACTTTCCATATTATTGGAATGTTAGCTGATTTAATCAATGATGTTTACAAATACAACATGGAGATTATCAATTGAATAATAGTTTTTGATTGAGATCATGAATTGATTGATGTTAGATTATCATTGAAAACCTGAAAGTACTGGATGGCTGTTTCGTCCTATTGTGGGACGCTCTCAACAGTGAGTATCCATGGTCCCGTTCGCGGGATAGAGAAACTTTGAAAGAGATGGAAGTTTTCAAAAAATCTGAGTAGCATTATCAATGAACAAGATGGATCGAATGAAGATATGAAGGTAAAGGTATGCAATGTAAAGGCATATGGAACTCAGAACAAATGTCTATTAACTAATATCAATGTCATAATCTTCAATACGTACGTCAATACAGTTAGTTCTATAGTAGGGAGGTAAACCTTCGAGAACTACTATTGCGACCATCATCAAAAGGGTACAAGTATTTATAAACAATTGTTTATACAAGATACTCAATGTTCGTTGACCGGGTGCTATAAGCAACAGCCCAATGTGGAAGAGGACAAGTCAACTTCCAGTTGAAGTGGAAGGATGGATGTGGATAAGACATATATTGGGGAAATCATCAAAAACTGCATCACGTAGCAAGCGCTAACTTGAAATCTTGAATGGAAACAACGAAGAGGAAGGCCAAAAAACACACTACGTCAAGAATTAGAAGTAGACACGAAAAGGATAAATAACAACCAGAAAGAATTGGAAATGATGTATCTATGACAGATTTGGTGAGAGAATGTTGATGGATGGCCTAGGCTCCTCTATGAGGGGTGATAGGCATAAGTAACTAAGTAAGTCATATTCACATATATTTTAATAGGATCCTGTGAACAACTGTTTGTCTTAGATTCAATTCATCAATGGAAGCAGTGGACGGTTATTTCGTTCTACTATGAGACTTCTCAGCTGTGCGCATCCACGATCTCTCATGCGGAGTTCGAATCCAGGACTTTCTGTTTCGCGGGCAAACGCTACCTGATAATAATCATCATGTGCTCACTAATGATTGACTTCATAAGGTATTCCCTGCGGTTCTAGTGAAAAGCTTGGATCAGTGTATTTCAACCGGGTCTGTTGTGAGGCAGTTACTTACTGAAGACTCGAACTGATGTACATACGTATAAAGTTCAACGTTGTTGATTGACTGACTGGCTGAGTGAATACATTGATCGACGGTGGTGCAATATCGTGAATTGGTTGAAGTTAGACGTTAACACGGTTAGATGATGGCTTAATGACCTAGAGGTTAAGCGTTCGCCCACGTGACAGAAGTTCTTGGATTCAAACCTCTCATGGGAGGTCTTGGATGCGCACAGCTGAGAAGTCTCATAATAAGACGAAACGACCATCCAGTGCTTCCAGGTTTTCCATGGTGATCTAGCTTCAACTGACTCACGAATTTCACTATTAAAAAAAAACTTACATTACGAGAAAGAAACAAAAATTAAGACGAGCTTACAGAATTCTGATAAGTTCACAGAATTGACAATAAAATCCACTAGACGCTTTTTAACTATTTTCAATTGGAATCATTCATATAATGCATAATCATGCAATAAAATAAGTACAATCATACATAACGAAGATCATTCAACATACAATTTATTAATAATACTATCTAATATTTAAAAGTATACATGCATTTAGGAGAACTTCACTGTGGAGCTCCCTGTGGAGCCCCCTGTGGAGATACTGCTGCTTCTAAGCTTGGATAAAGTAAAAGGGTTGAGCATAGATTTATCAACTCCATCCAGGTAGACAACAAAAAATAATAATAATTCAAGCCATGCATTCAGAATGAATGATCAATAATGAAAAAAAAGAAAAAAAACTTGTACAGAACCAAGTCAAAGATACCATGTTTACATAAATCAATAGAATTGACTGAAAATAAAAAAATGATCATTTGTAATAATTAGGGTTTATATCATGATTAAAAATAGTTGATAAGCCATAAATACAAACCAGATTTGATGATGGACAAGTGTAGAATGTCAACAACTACTTAATATTTGCATCATTCCAGTATGGAAGGAATGATTCAATAGTGTACACTTATCGTTCTATCAGAGTGTGTGTGTGTATGTGGTGGAGGAGTAATTCTTGAAATGGTGGAAAAGATTTGTAGCTCAGGTGAATGAATTTGATGGAGGTTTGTTCTCTGAGCTGGATGGTTTAATTGTGGAGTTTTCATCATTCATCTGAACAACATCATCAGTACAAACTTCAGGTAAAAGTGAAGAAATTAGAACATTTCACTACTACCTGAAGTTTGTGCTGATGATGTCGTTCAGAAGAACAATGAAAGCTTCACAACCACATCATCCAGCTGAAAAAAGAAGACTCCGTCAAAAACATTTATCTAGCTATCTTCTAATATGTTTAAACATACTGATGCTTCACCTAATATGCATTTACTTGATGTATGTAATTTTCATCATTAACTGACATGATCGACAAGTCAAATAAACTCTGAAGGAAGATAGGCAGCTGTACCATCACAGATTAGAAATATAAGGATATATAGCGGTCTAATACCGGAACAAACTTAGTACTTTCAATGTATGTTGTTAAAGCAGTATCATATAGAACCAATGAATCATGTTGTTAATGGTCAAGATTTCTACACATCCAGTACTATCAATAAATAACTATCTGTCCTTCGACTTAGATTAACAGTTAACACTTTTCAAAAGGAGTAATATTACAAACTTCTGATGTAATGAACGAGAAAACACATGGGGGACAACCACATGTATTTGAATATAAAATTACACAATCCTACTTCATTTGCAAAATATCTGTCAATTATCTCAAACTTTATTGTCCCCTCATTTTGCATACCAATCACTTTGAGTTCTTATTCTCTTCTCTTCAATCTTCTCAATTTTCTTCTTCTTGAAGGCATTCTATTCTCGATTGATGTTGCATACTACTTATATCTGTCGATATAAGTAGCTTACATCACACTAAGTTTGAATATAATGTATATCATGCTTTAACATTACTTTCATTATTGTACTGTAAATTTACATGACAAATATGTAGTTAAAGACTTCATTTAATAGAATTTAAGTTCCCCCCCCACCCGATTCATACTCCGTTCAATCCACTTCAAACAAGTACTCTTTTTAAGCTAAACCTGAATGATAGACATTTATGACAGGAAATATTATTGTCAATATTGAATTATCATTTCTAGTTGCTAAGGTGTTCAAAATGAGGTTAAATCAATAAATGAAACATTCTTTATCTTTTAAAAAAAAAAGGAAAAATAGTGTACCTTTCGTTGAAGAACATTGATAATTTAACTCTTCTTCAATATCTGAAAATGAAAATGAAACTCAGTTGAGATGATAAAGAAAAGAAATGATAGTTAAAAGTTTATTTTGAAAAAGAAATTCCCATGGTAATTAATGTTTGATTAACATGTAAATCACTGCTCTTAAATGCCCTGGTACAACCGAGAGTGAAGAGAGTCAACTGTCCCTCTCCAAATGCTGTCATGTGGCCACGTGCATACAAACACTGACAGGGAAGTCCTGCTTACTGCCTTCTCAAAACACGAGTATTGTTTAAGAAATTAAAAAATATGAAAAGTGAATGTTCAGTGCTTTTACCGGTTTGGTGCATATGATGGATCCACCTAGGGGGAACTTAAAAACCCTCATTTCAAACCAATCGTGCACATGGTCTCCAGTGTCCTGAAGGAACAAATAGCGTATGAACCTATTGTTGGTCACCAGTTACCATGAGACTGGATCTCGTAACGTTACTTCACTTCCTCGTGAATCAGACCTTTGGGTCGAAGGGTCAGGGTGTGGCCCCCTAATAAAACTACCAGTATCACAGCCCTCACACAAATCGAATGATTTATGTGGCGCATATGTATTCGGTGCCTCATTGTACCAATGTTTATGTGTTTAAATAAATAAATAAATAATTTTCTGTATAAAAATGCATGTATTTGAATTACGGTGATATTCTGAAGGAAGTCAACTAAATCATTTATATTCATATTCATAGGGATGAAAGAACACTGATCATACAAAGCCAACTCCCGTTTCAAATGCTCATGGATTTATTTCGAAAAAGGCCTAAGAAGAACGAATGTTGAAGAGTTGAAAAGACTGAAAGGCAAAGCGGCACAACCTTCAAGAGTGATGGACCGCAAGAGGAAAGCAGTAACCAAGTTTTAGGTTGACCCAATGAAAAAGTCTTACACACCAGACTTTAAAGAGGGTGGGGTGTGAAAACGGTTCGCCGGTGAATTCGAGAAAGCTCTAAGAGGAGAAGATATTCTATTTAATTGTCTTTTCGAAGAATATACCATAATCCCTACATGTTGCTTTTCTATCGGATTGAAGGACTATAATGATGATTTGGTTTTACTTAAAACTATAAATACCTGACAGTTTATTTTACCATATCTGACATTATTTGGAACAGAATTCCTTTCAATTGTCTTTTGTCTTCTCATTTGTGACTTGGGAGGGTTCTAGAGTTCAAGTGTTCAAGTTGTACGCAGTATATTAAAAATCTAATCTCTAGATATAACAAAGACAATTGTCAGGAAGATGTTACTACAATCTAGAGATTATTTATGTTCCCTGTGGTATTCGAATTCATATCACTAAATGTTATAGCTCAAATGCCCTGGTAAGGCCGAGAGTGAGGAGAGTCCGCTCTCCCTCTCAAAATGCTCTCACATGGCCACGCGTATATAGCCTCTGTCAGGGAAGTCCTACTCACTGCATTCTCGCACTACGGGTGTTGTTTACGAAAATGAGAAAACGAAAAGCGAATTTCCGGCGCTTTACCCGGATCCCAAATCAATGGTGCACATGGACTCCAGTATCCTAAAGGATCAAATGGTGTATGAACCAATCGTTGGTCACCGGCTACCATGGGACTGCATCTCCTCACGATGCTCCACTGCCTTGTGGATCAGGCCTTCAGGTCGAAGGCTTGGGGTGTGGCCCCCTAAGAAAACCACCTGTTTCGGTTTGGGCACCCGTGCAGTATCACAGCCCTCACACAAATCAATCGAGATTCGTGTGGCGCATATGTATTTGGTGCCTCCTTGTACCTATACCTATGTGTTAAAATAAATAAATAATAAATAAATAAAGAGATTATTTATGTTCCCTGTGGTATTCGAATTCATTTCACTAAATGTTATAGCTCAAGAGATTACAATCACACTATTTAAATCATGATTAGCTTTCTTTAGGAATAAAATATTTTTACTGATCACTCGGTTACTCAAGACTGAATCGATTAAAAGTTGGATTTCAGTTCGAGATTTTGTAACTGGACGTCAACAACTTTAATCATAAAATCAATATTTCATATAAATCATCACGATTTCTTATTCTAGTGTTGATGACTGTCTTGCTCCCCCCCCCAAAAAAACGATACTTGTTAAAGATCTAAACACATGACTGTAGAATAGATCAAAAGTATGACCTTCAGAAATGAGGTAATCTATGTTACTGCCCTACCGTCATCCACTACTATACATGAAACCCTTCTGATTCCCATAAAACATAAACTCAATTCACTGATTTCAGTATGATAGATGTTAAAGTATAGTATGATTTAATTGTATACTAACAACTAAAAACATATCTAATATATCTTATATGATGTAATGGGTGTACAGTGACAAAGGATACTGTATATCAGAATGAAATCAATAACCATTAATTGATGGTTTTCAATAGTTCTCTTGTTAACCTTGATCAATATTAAAGATAAACATTCAACAAACTTATTCATTCACTAGATGTTATTTTACTTATAACTTTCCATTGTTATTTAAGACTACAATTGATCAATCTCTTATTGACATATGTGCACTCTGTGAGGATCGCGTCGATATAACCTTAAGTCACAAGCATTTTAAGCAAAGATGGATGAATGATGACTAGCAATGAAATCCAATTTGATGCGCGTTTCTCACTATTTCGGGACTCATCATCTGGATGTACCTACATCTCAGACTTGTTGATGTTGACTCCGGGACTTCATCTTTGCTTAAATACCTATTGATTATTCAATAATTCAACGCCATCAAGTCTTTGAATTAGTTGGTCATTTATTCAGATGTGTATATCTATGTAGATGTGTTTAAAAATAATGAAGAACTTACGTTTTTCAGTTTTTATTTCTTCTGTACGTTGATGAGTTCTTGAATCACGTTGAACTGATAAATAGTGTGTAGTTGAAGAAAAAGAAACATTTTATCCATAAATTTTTGTCAATATAGAGTTATGGAGATTATTAAGTTTTTGATTGAGATCATGAACCGATTGATTTAAGACTGCCATTGAAAACCTGTGAGCATTGGATGACCGTTTCGTTCTATTACGAGACTCCTCAGAAGTGCGCATCCACGACCCAGTATTTTGGGATCCGAACCCAGTGCCTTCGGTCTCACCAGCGGACGTTTAACCTATGGACCACTGAGTTAGTATTTAACGTTGTTAATGTCTAACCTCAACAAATCCACGAAATTGCGCGACCATCTTCCATTGTACACAGGTTAATACCTGTCTCTATCCCATACAAATTAGTTCCACTTATCACGGCTTCTTAATAGAACTCCAAAAATTCCCTCTTGAATCTAGTCACTAGTGAGCACATAGTCTCGCGAACGGAATCATAGATGAACACTGCTAAGGAGTCCCACAATAGGACAAAATGGCCGTTAAGTGCTTCCAGGTTTTCAATGGTGCTCTAACATCAATCGGATCATGATCTCAATCCAAAACATAAATTTTTGATTTCGTTCTAAGTAAATAAATAACACTGATATATTTTTAATGAAGATACATTGAGATGCCTATTTTTATTTACCCAATACCATCAATAACAGCCTACTGTTGGAGAAAATAAACCAACTTCTAACTGAGGAGGAAATTAAAAAAAGACGATGGAAATCATCAAAGACTCCATCACTAGGTAAGCGCTATCTTCGAATCTTGAATGAAAACGGAGTGGAGGAAGTCCAGAGAACATACTGTATCGGAAACTGGAAGCAGACATGAAAATGATGAATAGTAACTGGAAGACCAAAGAACACATTACGCCGAGAAATAGAGATAGACATGATACGAATGAACAAGAATTGGATAGAAGTAGAAAAGGAGGTCGAGGACAGAGTGGGTTGGAGAATGGTGGTCGGCGGCCTATGCTCCATTAAGAGTAACAGACGTAAGTAATTAAGTAGTTCCACACTAATCATTCTTTGTTCTCGTTCTATTCTTTTCAATTTTCTCAACCTTCTACTGTCATGTATCTTAATTTCAATTGGTGTTACATACTACTTATATCTTTAAACATCAGTAGCACATACCACACAGATATAAGTTTAATTGTGAATAGGTCATTTGATAAATGAATTATTACACAAATACATAACTAATCAACTAGTTTGTTTCTAATTCACTTACTTTGATCAGTTTGTGTTTGTTCTGTAGATTGACGACTTCTTGAATCTTTCACAACTAATAAATCATCAAAATAATATAGATAACCGACTGTTTACTTCAGTTACGTTTAACATATAAATTCATAGACTAGTTCATTAGATGGTTGTGAATATTTCTGGAGTTTTGATAATTGTTTACGTAATCATTACTCTTGAACAATTAAGTCGTAATCCATTTGTATTGATTCTGAACTTCTGTCAGTGTATGATATAAATCGATAAATCTCCTATGTTATCAATGATAAACTTATCTCTATGTTGGAGGGACGTTAGATCCCCAGAACTAACTTGAAAAAGGACCAAAATTTGTAATTTTATTTAGAAAATTTGAATTTCTTTGTTTTCGCGCCAAAAGCGCTCTCTTCACCTTCATGTCGTATATCCCATTCAGGAAATATTTTAAATGCTATTGGTCCGTTGTGTCTTTTAGTATGCTATTTGGTAACTCTCACCAAGGACGATCTTGTACTGTATATATACATTTTGATTTGTGTTTACAGAATATACTTCCCTATTCCAAGCTTGGACTTCTTTCTCTAGTTAACGGGGCTGAGACGCATCGAATAGCTAACTTATTGGTCTTTGATCACTGAGTGTTTGTTCCGTTCGTAGATTAAGTGATCTCGTAACCGCTTCAAGCCTAGCACATTATTTTCAAACTAAATCGATCACAACTCCTTCAAAAGGATTGTGATTGTAGAAACTCATCTAAGATAATTCTACCTGATCAAGTTAGTAAGGTACACTAATTTAATGGGATCATCTATTGAATTATTCACATATTCTGACACGTGTCACAACAACATATTTGAATAGTTCCATTATTTCAATAGATGCAAGATTGTGATCTAAGAACAGAAACCAAATGATGAATGTGAAGTTGGATTTACTAAAACTGTACTACATATTGGAGATTAAGTGTAACTGAACCACTTTATTAACTAGGCAGATAATCTTGAATACGTTATATGAGGGTGTTCTGTAAGAAACATCTTTTGAAAAGATCACTTTAGACAATTTAGAAGTAAATCATGGGGATTATCTAGCTTGAACACAAGGTTTATGTATATAACTTTCTTCTTATACCGTATCACTGTTATCTGTTTGTATGGTTCCAGTCAAAGATAAGTTGTCATAACTAACTAATTGTGTGTATATACCAATTTACTAGTTGCTATGCTACTAGTTAGATGGGACCTCCCCTGTATCTGTGATCAACTTCCAGGATAGCTTAACAAAAGATAACATAGACAAGTTACTTCATCTGTTCTGCAACATTCTTAAGATAAACAGATTTAGATTTGAATTCGTTCAAAATTGGTTACGTAGATATTTAAAAAGGAACCATGTTGTCAAACAAATAAGGAAACTTACATCCTGAACTATCCACACTTCGTGATTCTCTAGAAGTATTCGGTTTAACTAAATCAATTCAAAAATATACAAAAAAATGATTTTGACTTTAATACAACTTCCGAGATAGAAACATTGTAAATTTAACAACAATGTGAAACATTTGCAGAATTATAAGTAAAGATAGATAGTAACTAGCAATGGAATCCTGTTGGATGCGCGTTTCGTCCGACTTGGGACTCGTCAGCTGGATATACCTACATCTCAGACTTGTGATATTGACTCCAGGATTCGAATCCAGTGTTATTTGTTTCAAACGTTATTGTATTATTCAAATAAAATGAAACGCACGTCCTGAATTCCACTGCGAACCACTATCCCTCTTTGCTTATAAAGCTTGTGAATTAAGGCGATATCAAGGTAATACGCACAGTTTGCACATATGACAATGAAACACTGATCAACTGCACTGCTAAACATCAATGGGAAGATTTAAGTGAGTGTAAACTGCATCCCATTTCACAAGCAAGTGATTATTAAGACTCAGTATCTAAGAGGTTAACGTGTTGGCATTTGAAGTGAACGGTACTGGATTCAAGTGAACATGAACAAGACTGAGATGCAGCTGCATCCACCTAACGAATCCCAAATAGGAATAAACGTGCGTCTTGGATTCCACTACTAGCCACCATTCATCCACTTCTGCTTATAATGCTTGTGAATTAAGGCAATATCGAGACAATCCGTACAGTATGCACATATGACGATAAGAGACTGATCAATTGCAGACCTAAACATCAATCGGAAGATTCAAGTAAACAACAAGACTAAGTGAATATGCAGAATTAGTCTGTCAATTAATGAATTTCGAACATACCACTCATAAAAAAATCAATCAACTGTACTGTTGACGAGACAATGAAATACGCTAATACACTGATGATTTTTATAAAAGGATCGTGATTAAACAATCATCGGTAACTAGGGATTATATCATATCTACACATTGTACATTTAGGAGAATTCATACCAATAAGAACCTAAATCAACCCTATAGCAGGTAAGAATCTTTGTTCACTTGAGTCAGTAGATGATGGGAAATCCACTCAATGAGAATACTTTATTTAATTCTGCTTATGTTTGTAAAATTATACAGAGAAATAAACCAGTCGTAGTAAACTCATAGTTATAGGTATATAATATACCTTTGTGGGCAAGGGTAATTTTACATTGGTTTTCAGAAGAACTAGACACCATCTAAACTTTCACATGACAACCCAAACAGTACAGCTCAATCCCGTTTAACAAGAGAGTCAGATACTTCCCAGGCTTAAACTTCATAACCCGAGAAGCACAGCTCAATTCCGCTTCACAGGAGAAGCAGACATCATACAGGTTTAAACGCTACAACCTAAATAGTACAGCTCAGCCCTGTGACGCAACCACACACGTACTAAGCACTCTGGTGCACCATTCGCACCATTCATATAAACATTGACATCACATGCATAATTATTCCGATCATTGATCGCGTAAATCAATTATGCACAGCATGAACAGACCAACGTTGACCTACTCCGCTTACACGACAGTCAAATTCATTCATGTTAGCAATGGTGACATGCCTTACAATGTCCTAATGACAATGGCCCTTTAGAACACTGGCAAGCAACCACCAGTATGAATGAAATCGGTTAACCAGTAAACCAATTTTGTGCATGAACAATCAGCAAAACTTGCCAAAGTAATGCTGAACCATCCACAATACGAATGGTGAACCTCCAGTCTCATACGAGACCTTCAGCTCTACATAACCATATAGCTTATTGTTCCTTAGTAAACTCATCTAAATTTATAGTATGAAAACACTGATATCTTGGTTCTAATGCATCAATAAAAATATTAGATAATAAATCAATTAAGATATTCGTTATAATCGATTATGTTCACATTCTATCATTATAGGATTATGGAGATTTGATTAAGATCATGAATCGATCATCAATACTAAACATCACAATTGAATACTTGGAGGCATTGAATGGCCGTTTCGTCCTAATCTGAGACTCTTCAATAGTTTACATCCACGATTTATATTCGTGATACTTATCTAAGCTACTAGTATTTGATCACAGATGTCTTAGAAATATTTCTCGCATCTGTTAGGATAATAGTGAGGTTAGACGCAGGGTATGAAAGAATGATGGTCGTAAATCAGTTGATGAGGTTATGAATTTTCATCGACTGAGATGATTGGGTCACGTGTTATGTATGCCTGAACACCGATTACCATGATGCACAATGCTGACTAGTATAGGGGATTTTTGGAAGAAAGTTAAGGGCGGCCAAACCAAAACATTGTATCTGTCACTGAATTCACTGGCTTCTAATCTTAGCCATGTTGGTAAATGCGGACTATATGGTTGGGGTCCGTATGACTATCGTAACCAATGGTTGGAGACTCTTGGTGACATGGCTTAGAATCAATCATAATGGCTTGAGTGTGTGTATACACTCTGCTTTTCCTTAAACTATGAGATTAAATTTACTTTATATCTTTCTTTCAACCAACTAATTCTTTCTTCCTGTACTATCTCCTTATATGCAATCTTTCTTTTATACATTACTACCATCAAAGTAACTACTTCTATGAATTTGGTGTTCATCTTGTTGTGCTAATGAGGTGTGGGCAACATGGACCACTACATATGTGTGTTTGGTCCTATGTTGTAGCTGACTGACTGACTGACTCACCGGCTGACTGATTGACTTTAAATTCAACTGTTCATAGATGATATTCAATAATCGGAATAATCTTATTGGTTAAACAATTTAATTGTTAAATCAATACTAAAACTTTATTTGGTCAAATGAATTTCGCTCCAAAATCAGAGACCTGCTATCTTATACCTGATTGGTTCATCCATCAATTATAGTCTCGCCTTAATTTAAACTGAAGAACTAACCTTAGAAATAGATTAGATTCTACAATGTCTTCTTAAATATTGACTAGAATTCATTCAGTAGAATGATGAATATACTGATTGTTAGATTCAGTCATGTAAGCAGATGAAGATTATCTAGTTGGAGTCTATATGATTATGGGGTCAGCAACCCAATCCAGTAGAACGAAATCTTGCTTTCAAAAGTGCCAATCAGATTAAACAAGTAATTTTTTGTAGTCTCTAATTGTATTTTAGATGCCTAATATTTTCTATTATTTAAACTGCTGTGGGATTTACCCTACCAAGTTTATCATCCTATGCTAATCAGATAGGATAACTTGAACCTGTGTAAATACGTACCAGATTCTATGTTGTATTTCATTGATTTTTCTAATTTCTGTGCTTTGATCATATAAATAATGGTATTAGACTATAATTTATGGACAAACCAATCAGATTTCAGCCCGACATTCACTCATTCATTTGACTAAATAACGCTTTGACATTTTGGCTGATATCAGTTCGTGATGCGAATCTTTAAATCTAATCATCAACTGTAAATTACATTCTTTATTTTTTAAACAGGTTTATAATCCTCATTTAGCACTAGTAACTAGGCAGGTAACTCCTTCTGGAGTCCCTCCAGAAGCTACTGCCGGTCCCAAGCCCAGATGAAGGAGGAGGGTCGGGCATGGGGTTAGCGACCCCATCCCGTAGAATACTAACTCGCTAAAAAACGCTAACCAGAAAAAATTATTCAAACCGTGTAAACTCTGCCCTGGGAGTCAGAAGGTCTTCATTTAGAAGAGTTATGACGCCTTATGTTGAAAGCCGAGTTCCTTCGGAAGTCACGAAGGCAATGCTCTTTCTGACAACCAGAGCAAGCATTTATTTAGGTACATGGAATGCTCGTACAATGTGGGAGACCAGGCGAGTCTTCAAAATTGCTGCAGAAATGAGGAGATACAACCTAGAGGTGCTTGGGATCAGTGAAACGCATTAGACGCAAGTTGGACAACAATTAGGTAGATATTCACAAAGTCACTTTAGCGTCGCTCGAACATAATGCATAAATTATAGTCTTAATTATAAATCAATAATCTCGAATCTACCTGCTGAAATCAATAATACATTATTTATTTATTCGAACACATAAATATTGGTACAAAGTGGCACCGAATACATATGTACCACAGAAATCACTTCATTTGTATGTGGACTGTGATACTGCCCGGTTGCCCAGACCGAAACAGGTGGTTTTCTTAGAGACCACACTAGGAGAATTCAATCTAAAGGTCTTATCTACTAGGCAGTGGAGCAACATTAGGACATGCAGTCCCACGATAACCATGACCAACGATTAGTTCATACGCCATTTGTTCCCACGGGATCCTGGAACCGATGTACACTATTGATTTAGAGTCATGGTTTTCCTACTACCCTAGTTAGATCCACCAACCTGGAGAATCTTTTTTCATCCTCTCAATTTCTTAAACAACATCTCCTTCATAAAAAAGCAATGAGTAGGACTTCCCTTGAAGTGGCTGTATACACGTGGCCATGTGAGATTATTTCAAGACAGAGAGAGAGAGTTCACTTTTGGCTGTATCAGGGCATTTAAAAGCCATCATTAATAAAACTAATCACAAATGTCTGAAAGTACTAGATGTCCGTTTCATCCTCATCAGTGTACATCCACAATCGTACTTGCAGGATTCGAATCCTAAACCTATCAATCTTAAGCTAAAACATTTAATCTATTAGATCAGTAATTCAATCACAAATGTACTTTTATTAAATCATTTTGTTTTTTTTTCTTATTTATCTTACTTACTTTTACGTGTTTTTCTTTTAACTACTCTTACTTCTGTATCACCTTCACCTTGTATATTCTCTTCTATTTCTGTAATGAATTGATTATGATTTAAATCTGTATATGATCTTGTTCTAGATGTAATATATTGAATTTCACCAGTTATTGGATCAATTCGTTTAGATTTAGTAAATTCATTATTTGTTGTATTTGGTATAATACGATGATGAATAGGTGATATAGAACGACCACTTAAACGTATGATGGGTGATCTTAATGGACGTGGTGGTAAACCCATTGGTTTTGTATGATTTCTTAATAGAACATCATCATCATTATGATGATGATGATGATCATGTATAGGTTTAATTAATATACTTCTTTCCATTGTAGGACTACATGGTGTACTATGTATAATACGTTCATAATTTAATTTATTTGGATAATTGATTAATTGATCATTCAATTGTGTTAATGGTTTATTGATTTTATTCCATATTGATTTATGTTCAGAAAATAGATTTTCTTTATATTTTGGTTGATTTATTTCATTAAATTTATTTATAGTAGTTAATTGATTAATTTTTTCAATTAATGGTATAGTTGTTGTTGTTTTTGTTGTTGTTGGGGTTAATGGTTGTGGTGGGGGTTGAGATTGAGGTTGGGATTGAGATTGGAATTGGGGTGGTGGTGGTGGTGGTGGTGGTGTTCTCATGGATATTGGTGATGATAAAATTGGTGTAAATCTATGTGATACATCATGAACTGTCCAATCTTCATCATTTACATGATCAAGATTTTTGTTTGGATTGAATTTATTAGATTTTTTTATTGTTTTAAATGATTCAGTATTCATTTCTTATTTGATTTTATGTAAAAGAAAAAGAAGAAAATGAAAATAGTGCAGTTTAAGTTATGAAATTTATGCAAACAATTGAATTTATGAATAAATCAATGTTGAACAATCATAGAGAATCTAAGAATTTTGGACGGTTGTTTCGTACTAGTATGTAGCTTCTCAGTAGTGCTCATACACGATCATGCATGCGGGAATCCAAACATGAATTTTCGGTTTCGTGCGTGAACATTTAACTTCTAGAACACTAAGTTGGTATCCAATGTGAACTTCAACCGGTGCACGAAATTGCGTCACAATCCATCATTGTTTTCAGTCAGTTACTATCTCATAACAGATCCTGTTGAAATCTACTAGTTACGGCTTTTGACTAGAACTACAAGAAATACCTCTTAAAGCCAGTTACTGCTCGAGTGTCCCATGCCAAGTTCATACGGTTTTTGTTTCCACAGAACCTCCATATGCCCTGGTACAGACGAGGTTGGGGAGAGTCAGCCCTCCGTCCCCAAATGCTCTTACATGGTCACGTCTATACAACTACTATCAAAGAAGTATTACTCACTGCCTCCTTGAGGTGTATACGCTATTTACGAAATTGAGAGGACGAAAAGCGAATGCAGTGATTTAACTGTGTTGGTAGATACGGAAGATCCACCTAAGGGGAGTTGATAAACCTTGATTCCAAACGAATCGTGCACATGGGATCGAGGATCTTAAGGAAACAAATGTCGTATGAATCGATTATTGGTCACCTGATACCATGGGACTGCATTTCCTGATGTTGCTCCACTGCCTTTTGGATTAGATGTTTAGGTCAGTGGCTCCGGATGTGGCCCCCTGAGAAAACCAACTACTTTGGTCTGGGCACATGGGCAGTATCACAGCTCACACATAAATCGAGTGACTTGTGTGGAGCATATGTATCCGCTTATTACAATTGGGATTTGTGAAAAACGTGGTTATTTTAATATTTGAATACATGAGTCGATCTAATCTAGATCACCATTAAAAACCGGGAAGTACTGAACAGTAAAGTCTGATTCGTGTCGGGTGTGAGACAGTTATCTATCAAAATCAATGGATGAAGGGTTTCATAAGATCATGAATCTATTGAAGTTAAACACCGTTAAATTCCAGCTCACTGATCTAGAGGTAAACTGTTCGCGTATGAGACAGATAATCTTAAATTCAAATCCCATATCAAAAGTCATGGATACATACTACTGAGGAGTCTAATAATAGAATGAGATAGACGTTCAATGATTCCGGGTTTTCAATGATGGTCTAACATAGATCTACATATGAATTACAATATATCTACTTATCATATTTTGATAATAAAACAAACCTTAATGGAGATAGATTTGCTGAGTATAGTGGGTGATCTAACTTCATAATCTCTATTCACATATTTAATAAGTAGACTAAATGAATTCTAACTTTTATCGATTAATAGTTAAATATTAAATTTACTGAATGTCATCAGTATAAAAGGTACAGTGTAATTAGTCACTTGTTTTGTTATCATTTAAAACCTAAATAGTTTCTATCACATGTTCATTGAACAGAATATAGTGAATTCTAAGCAACATAATTTCTTCCTTTTAATTATACGTTAATGTCTAGCAACTAGTTCTCTAGTGTGTGTGTGTGTGTGTGTTTGTGTTTGTGTGCTACTAATGTCGATAGATATAAGTAGTGTGTATCATCAATCGAAAGTAATATACCTGGCGGCAAAATCTCAAGAAGATCAAAGAAAAGTAAACAAGAACAAACAATGGTTGGCTTGGAAACGAAGGAACAATCAAGTCTGAGACGATTAATTGACATTTTGCAAATGAACTATTTACTGTATCATTCTCAGATTTCACTAAGAGATTCTGTTATTCAAATACATTTGATTGTCCCCATTTATATTCTCATTCACTATATTTCTACAATGGGTTATACCAGGCAGAAACATTAAACAATTCTAGAAAGGAATATAATATTTATTTATCGAGTTACAAGAATATCATTATTCAATATTGACTATGTTATTTATTTATATGAACACATAAATATTGGTACAAAGGGGCTTCGAGTCACGAGTCACTTGATTTGTGTGTGGGCTGAGATACCGTTTGGGTGCCCAGACCGAAGTTGGAGCTTTTGACCTAAAGGTCTGACTCACAAGGAAGTGGAACAACTTTAGGAGATATAATCCTATGGTAGCCGGTGACCATCGGTTAGTTTATACATCATTTGTTCCTTCAGGATTCTGGAGCTTATGTGCACGATTCGTTTGGACACAGGGTTTTTCAACTCCTCTAGATCGACCAACCGTGTCCACCAATCCGGTTAAAGAGCCTGATATTCACTTTTCGTTTTGTCAATTTCATAAACAACACCCGTGGTGCAAAAAAGCAGTGAGTAGGATTTCCATGTTAGTGGTTGTATACGCGTGGCCATGTGAGAGCATTTGGAAAGAGAGAGAGAGAGAGAGAATTGACTCTCTCCACTCTCGACCATACCAGGGCATCTAACTGACGATCATTCAATACGTTATCGTCAATATCGGTCAAGAAATAAGAAACGTAAACTTATTGACATGCTTCGTGCTGAGAATTCTATATTGTACCCAAAATATAATATTGAATATAAGCAACAATAATACTACTTAAATCATGATCATATATTCATGAATCTATAGTTTTGAGAGAATTGTCTGTAAAGTATCATAGAAAGTAGTCATTTATGTAGATAACTATGTCAATATTAAGATATTGAATATAACAATTAATGTACACCATGCTCTATCATGAACTCTACCTGGAGCCATCTCTGGGACTATATCATGCGAAATTAACTTAATTTTCAAAAACATGGATCATTTATTTTTGATCTATTCATCGAATAGTACTACATTCACGGTTAAACTTCAAGATTATTGCATTGATTTCATATGAAGTTACAAACTTATTATTATTAATCGCTTTATTCAATATTATATTTCAATAGTTGAGATCATGAGTCAACTGAAGTTAGACCATCATAGAAAACCTGGAGGCACTGGAAGGCTGGTTCGTCCTATCATGGGACTCCTCAGCAATGCGCATCCAAGATCCCACCTCGCGGGATTCGAACCCAGGACCTACTGGTCTCGGGCGCTAGCACTTAACCGTTAGACCACTGAGCGGGTTGGCATCCAACGGTGTTAATGTCTAACTTCAACTAATTCATGACATTGAGCGACACATCCACCATTGTCATCAGTAAGTTATTATCTCACAACAAACCCGGTTGAACTCCACTGGTCACTGCTTCTCATTAGAACTCCAGGATATACATCTTGAAGCCAGTCACTAGTGAGTATATGTTGAAAATACTAAAATCTCCACAAAACCCCCTTTCGATAATAATCAATGTTATATCTTTTTGGTACAATTTAGAATTCTCAGCATAAAGTACATCAACAAGTTTCCCATTTCTTACTTCTTGGTCAATCCTGACAATGACATATTGAATGATCGCTAGTTAGAAATTAGCAGTCCTACATTGTAGCTGACCGAGTGAGAAGCTAGCAGTCCAGTAAGTCGATATATATATATATAATGTACTTTTTTCAATGCATACAGTTGCCAGCAACCATAATATCTTTGATTTGGCCTTTTGTAATTTGTACAACGAATGACATAATGATGTATGGGTGAGACTATAATTTATGGACAACCTTTAAGTGACGCTAGACTGACCTTGAGAGTGTTCACTTAATAACCAGGATCAAAGGAGGGTTATGAACGTGTGTAAGGAATTAGAATTATCATTTGATGATTAAGGTTAGAAATTAGATTTCAGATTTTCATCACGAACTGACATCAGATAGAATGCCATGATTCGATTTATTCAAATGGATAAATGAATTTCATGCCAAAATTCGAGACCTGTTATCTTATACACTTGAATGGTTCATGCATAAATTATAGTCTCACTGATGTATATATAACTTATTGAAATATCTAGATGGCAAGTACAGATAGCCTAGATATTCAAGTAGACCGCTAAGTAACCACGTCAATGAATTGATATCCAAATATCTGACGGTTGATTTCAGTCTCTATTGAAAACTTTTATTGATTCATTCATCTCAATGTAATCAGTCCTTGATGATTACTATGATCAATTATACCTTATATATATGTCATATAGATGAATGTATATAAAGTTTTTGTTTTCAAATAATCACTGAATATGTTTGTTCATTTGTTTATTTCGATTAATGAACGTACCACATTTTTAAAAAATTTGTTTTTCAGTTAATTGATTTGCATAATATCGAAAAATTTGTAAATTGAAATTTAATTACCATAGTAATTAAGATTAAGATCATGTGCCGATCAATGTTAGATCACTATTGGAAACCTGTAGTTACTGGATGCATGTTTCGTCCTAGTATAGAACTCCTCAACAGTGAATATCTATGGTTACGTACTTGGGATTCAAACCTGAGAACTTCGATCTCGTATGTGAATATCTAACCAATAGACAAATGAGTCAATCTCCAATAGTGTTAATGTCTAATTTTAATCAATCCAAGATTTTATGTAACCATCTTCCATTGTCTTTAGTGGATAACTGCCTGACAGACAACATAATTGAACTCCGTTGGTCACAGCTTCTTACTAAAGCTCGAAGCATTACTTCTCGAAGCCAGTCACTGATGAGTAGATGATCTCAATTAAAACCCAACAATCTCTACAATCTTATACTGATAATAAGTGAGTCAAGAAAGCAGTATGAAATTGTGTTAATTCTTGTATTTATTTTTCTTAATCATAAGATTTATTCTAGTCTAAGGTTATATAATATGTTCATCTGATAAAAATCTGTTTGATGAGAATGTTTTACAAGTTAGTTAATTAGGTAGGAATAAATCCACTTGGTGTAGTTTACTTAAATCATCGCCCCCAAATGATCTGGTACGACTGAGGGTGAGCAGAGTTAGCTCTTCCTCTACAAATGTTCTCATATAGCCATGCGTATACAGTCACTCCAAGGGAATTCCTACCTACTGCTTTATCTAAAACGCGGTGTTCTTTACGAAATTGAGAGGACGAAAAGAGAATATCCGGCGATTTAGCCGGGTTCGTGGATACAAAAGATCCACCTGAAGGAACAAGTAGAGTATGAACTAATCGTTGGTCACCGACTACCATGGGACTATTGCTCCTCACGTTGCTCCACTGCCTTTTGGATTAGACATCTAGGTCGAAGGGTTCTGGAAGTGGCTCCCTAAGAAAACCACGTGCTTCGGTCTGAGCATCCGGGTAGTATCACAGCCCATATACAAACGAAGTGACTTGTGTGGTGCATATGTAGCCGATCCTCTTTTTTTACCAATATACTCAATGTTTTTGATTGAGATCATGAATCGACTGATGTTAGACCACCGTATGAAACATGGAAGCACTGGACGGCCGTTTCGTCCTAGTATGGGACTCCTCAGCAGTGCGCATCTACGATCCCGCTCGCGGGACTCGAACCCAGGGCCTTCAGTCTCGCGCGCGAACGCTTAACCTACTCGACCACTTAGCCGGCATCCAATGGTGTTGGTGCACTGCTGAGGAGTCCCATACTAGGACGAAACGGCCGTCCAGTGCTTTCAAGTTTCCAACGGTGGTTTAACATCAGTCGAATCATGATCTCAATCAAAAGCTTAATAATCTCCACAACCCCAATACTGATACTCAATGTTTGTTGGCCGGATACCATCAGCAACAGCCTACTGTGGGAGAGAACAAACCAACTTCCAAGTGCAGAGGAAAAAAGACGTTGGAAGTGAATAGAACATATATTGAGAAACCAGCAAACCTGAATGGAAACGGAAAAGATGGAGATCAAATGATACACTATGTCGGAAATCGAATGCAGACATAGGAAGCATCAATATCAACTAGAAAAAAACTGAAAATGATGTGTCCATGACAGAGTTGGACAGAGGATGCCGATGCTCCTCCATGAGGGGTAACAGATGTAAGTAAGTAAGGAAATTATCGACTTATTCCATAATTAGAATTGAAACTGTTGATTACTTAGTTTAACTATCGATGATAATAGTTAACCTGAATATTGACTATTTTCTAATTTGGTTTAGTGTACAGTATTATTATCTATATGAAATTGTATTAAAGCATAGAAATTGAAAAAAGAAATTAAGAATAGCTGTATTATAATAACCTACCATTTTCAACCAGAACATCATCGAATTTCTGCATATATGAAGGAGGATTAAGTTTTGGATTCATTTCTAAAAAAAAAAAAGGAAAAAACCGGACTATGTGAATAGATTATAATGATACTTACTTACTGACTTACTTACGCCTATTACTCCCCGTGAAGGAGCATAGGCCGCTCACCAGCATTCTCCATCCAACCCTGTCCTGGGCAATCCTTTCAAGCTCTTTCCAGTTCTTATTCATCTTTTTCATATCTGTTTCTATTTCCCGACGTAATGTGTTCTTTGGCCTTCCTCTTTTCCGCTTCCCTTCAGGATTCCAAGTTAGCGCTTGTCTCCTGATGCAGTTTGATGATTTCCTCAATGTATGTCCTATCCATTTCCATCGTTTTTTCCTAATTTCCTCTTCCGCTGGAAGCTGGTTGGTTCTCTCCCACAAAAGGTTGTTGCTGATGGTCTCCGGCCAATGGATGTTAAGTATCATGCGTAGACAGATATTGATAAATACCTGTACCTTCTTGATGATGGTTGTTGTAGTTCTCCAAGTTTCAGCTCCGTACAGTGGAACTGCCTTGACGTTGGTATTGAAGATTCTGACTTTGATATTGGTTGAGAGTTGTTTTGAGTTCCATATGTTCTTCAGTTGAAGGAATGCCGCCTGTAGCTCTTCCAGAGTTACTGCCGGTCCTAAGCCCGGGTGAAGGAGGAGGGTTGGGCATGGGGTTAGCGTCCCCATCCCGTAGAAAACTAACTCGCTAAAAAAACGCTAACCAGATTATAATGATAGTGATTATTAAAAATTTATAAACAAGGATATTATTTAATAGATTGAATTGTGAGCAGTTAGTCGTAAGCAACATATAACCTGGAGCTACCAAATGTCATAGTACGTCTGAAGGTACGGAGAGTTAGCTCATCATCTTCAAATGCTCTCACATGGTCACGTGCATTATACCACTAGCAGGGAAGTCCTACTTACTGCTTTCTCTCTGCAAAAGTGTTTTTTACAAAATTGAAAAGACAAAAAGCGAATGTCCGGCGATTTAATCTGGATGATAGACATGGTGGGTCCACCTAGTAGAGTTGGAAAACTTTCATTCCAAACCAATGGTGCACATGAGCTTTAGGATCGTAAGGAAACAAATGACGTATAAACCTATTGTTGATCACCGGTTACCATGGGACTGGATTTCGTAACGTTACTCCACTGCCTTGTGAACCAGACCTTTACGTCGAAGACTCGAGGTGTGGTTCCCTAATAGGACCACCTGCTTTGGTTTGAGCACTCGGATAGTATTCCAGCCCTTACACAAATCGAATAATATTTGTGGCACATATCTATTTGGTACCTCCCTATACCAATGTTTATGCATTTAAATAAATAAATAAATGTAAAAATAAAACATGGACACATATGTGCATCGATTTCAGTCTTTATATCATATTAGAACAGCGAATTGAAACTATGGAAACAAATACCATAAAAGTAATAAGGATTGGACATAGAAAATATGATACACAAAAAGGATGGATTTTGAGAAATAAAAGTATAGCTTAATTTTGAAACTGGAGATCTTTGGAAAAAGATCATGAATGTATCTACGCCATTGTGATTGGTTCTGAATCGATATGAACCCTAACCAGTTATTCTGTACCCATAAACATCAATACCCTCAACAGTCGTTGATTTTATTGGCTGATAACACGTTTCAGTTTGATTATCATTACATTTCTTCTAATCTACAGCTGTATCGGACAAAAGCGCCTGTCGAAGCAGATGGTCGCTGGGTATATGTAATGTATGTCTGAACCATTTCAGTTTATGAAGATTAATTAACTTATCATCAGTTTTACCATCTAGATCTACTAGTCTATTTTTAATCACAGCATTGTTTTCAATATAGACTGAAATCAATTAAAAAATCATTGAAAACTAAAGAGGAATAGAGAGTATATCATGTACTAGTTTATGACCTAATAGTACTCATCCATAACCCTATCCAAGATAAGCCTGTAAGAATTTCATATGGAGAAAAAGCAACATTCTGACCATTGATTAGTTCAGGTCTTCAATAGTAAGACTGTTATTCATTATCACTGATAATAATTAAGTCAATTCCAACATGATTAAACTCTGATGGTCACTAGTTTTAACTAGAAATTCAATAGCTTATTTTAACATCTATCACTGGTGATCCCATGATTATAAGTTACTGAAATAGATCCTGAAACAATGTTCATTGTGGAATACTTCTTGAATAAATAATAATAATGGAGTTACGGTTTATTCAGATATTAACAAACATCACAATGCACTATACCATCTATATCATGTGTGCTACTGATGTTGACAGATATAAGTAGTATCTCAGTCAGTCAATCAATCAGCTACATTGTAGGACCATGCACATATATGCATCGTTCCACATTGTCATACTTCATTAACACAACAAAACTAACATCAAATTCATAGAAGTAGTCACTTCAATGGTGGTAATATATAACAGAAAGATTGCATATAAGGATATAGTACAAGAAGAAAGAATTAGTTGCTAGAGGGAAACACATAAAGCAATTTTAATCTCATAGTTCAGGGGAAAACAGAGAGTGTATACACGTACGCTACTGTGAGTCTCCAACTATTGGTTACGATAGTCACACGGAACCCAACCATGTAGTCAACATCTACCAACATGGCTAAGATTGGAAGCCAGTGACTTCAATGACTGATACCACGTTTTGGTTTGACCACCCCTAACATTCTTCCAACCATTCCCTATACTAGTCAGCATTGTGCACCGTGGTAATTGGTGTTCAGACATACATAACACGAGGCCCAACCATCTCAGTAGATGAAGATTCATAACCTCATCAACTGATTTATCATCGTCCCCCAATACCCTGCGTCTAACTTCACTATTACTTACCCGATGGTCCCAGCAGATGTGAGGAATATTTCTAAGACATCTGTGATCAAATACTAACAAGTTACAAGTATTTTCTACTCTCAATGGCCACGTTTTGCAGCCGTATTAACATAGTACCAGTAAAATCATTCGTTTAAGCTACAAGTCCATTTGATTAGTTAAACTTAAGAAAGATGATGTATATCATTCAAAGAAATTCATTTAAGATAGAATACTCTCTAATAGAAACGGTTATTTGAATATCTACTTCATATGATAATCTCATATTATGTTATCTATCCCACGTACTATTACGTAATCTATAGATAATTGGTTACCTTTGGACTTTGTAATGATTCTATTCACATCAATATTTCTTAAAGAATTCTACATTTGTAATGTTAATATTCCATTTGATATAGTTAATATTATCAGCTTCTTGATTATTTTGACTAAAATTTGATCAGTATCGGTTGCAGATTAACTCGGATAACACAACCATGATGATATAAGTTAATGTAGAATCAATAAAATGTGATCAGTAGTGGAATCTAGGATGAGAGTTTCATTCTGTTCGAATCACGAAGTGAACATCAACTCCAGGGTATGTAGGTACTATCTAGTTGATGTGTCCAAACTAGAATGAAACGTGTATTGTGGTTTCCACTGTTGGTCACATTCCAACTATTGTATGTCAATTGATTATCAATCAATTGATTCGATTTTATTTGGTGTTAATTTTATCTTATCCATGATAAAATGTATTTGATAATCATTGCATGTTCTAGTGGGAAGTCTTGACCAATAGTGTTCAAATATGTTTGTAGTGAAAATGCTCTCTGGAGTGACTATGAGACTATCGTTGGGCTATATCATAAACTGACTGAAGTTGTAAATGTATACACTAAGATTATAATTCAATGTTTCTAATAGTTAGGCATTCGCTTAAAGACTATGAGGTTATGGATTCACCCTGATAAAGAGATATGCATTACGACAAAGCAGCTATTAAAGTTATTATAATATCCACAAAACCTCTTCTGATACCAATCAAAATATGCTCATATGCTCAAATGGTATTTCCTGGAGTTGTATTGAGAAGCAGTGAACAGTGGAGTTCAGACGGGTCTGTTGTGAGATAGTAACTCACTGTTGAGAATGATGGATGTGTCACTCAATTTCGTGAATTAGTTGAAGTTAGACATTAACACCGTTGGATATCTGCCAGTTCTATGGTCTAGAGGTTAAGCATTCGAGTGTGAGACCAATAGGTGGTGGGTTCGAATGTCACAATGCGAGATCTTGGATGCCCACTTCTGAGGAGTACCACAGCAGGATGAAACGACCATCCAGTGTTTTCAAGGTTTCCATAGTGGTCTAGCTTTAATTTACTCATGATCTCAACTATTAAGAAATTTAGAAGCATTATATCTGTAGAAAATGAACATGATTGTATGATTTACTGAATTCAATCAGTAGAATGAGAGACTATCAGTTCAAATGTTATCGAGTCGTATCATCACATTAAGACAGAACACATTAAAATACATAGTGAGTAATATATTGTTTTGGATTTAATGACAATACATTTCCTTTCTTTAAAAACAAACTAACTAACGAATCTATCCTTCGGAAGGGGTTTTGTCGATATTATAGTAATTTTAATAGTTAACCTATCAGACTGATAGGTCCTGAATTCGAATGTCACGGGGCGAGATCGTGGATGCGCACTGCTGAGGAGTCTCACAATAGGACGAAACGGTCGTCCAATGCTTCCAAGTTTTCCATGATGGACTCATGATCTCAACTATTAAAATTAGTCTATCCTGATACAAAGTTTTACATAATTCATGTGAATAGTGAGATAACAGGGAAGATTTGTAGCTCAGGTGATGATCGTGGAATTTTCATTGTTCTTCTAAACGAAATCATCAGAATAACGATGAAAGCTCCAAGACTAAACTATCCAGCTCAGAGCATGAAACTCTATCAATAAGTGAATAGTACAAAGAAGCATTAGCCAAGAATTTATAATACTCTAAATAACCTTTTAAACTTTTCTTTCCTTTTGGTACAATATAGATCTACAGATAGATGAAATCCATTCTTCCAAATGAGGCCAATGAAATCATGCGATGTAATTCAACTCTATATTATTGAATGTTT